TCATTGACAGGTATTCTCGCCTGCAATGAGCTGCGATGGATTTCTATTGTATATACGAGGGTTGTTCGAAAAGTTCGTGGACTGATGCCATAAAATTAGGGATGGCAACGAATATTCGAACATTCGAATATTCATTCGATGAGGTGATATTCGAATATGAATTTAAGATTCGAATATTCGGTGTTTTTCAGATTTCATAAAAAGAAGTACTGTGATTAATAAATTTTGATTAGAACAGTGCTGGAATTATCCCTGTTTAATTTACAAGCGATCAATTTCGATCGCCTGATTTCTTTCACTACTTTCTTATCTTATAAATCTTTTAAATTACATGTATTTTGTTTTGAGTAAGGTGTTGTAAAGAATTGTATAATAATGCTTTATGTATAATACAAAACGTACTTTCATAGCTTTTATTAGTTAAAGATACGATCGGATCTAGAATCGAGGACAACAAATGAAATCTAAGAATATCTAAAAGGCTTGAAGAGTATACTTATCAAATATAAAATTAATTGATCATTGAATGAATGTCCGATAGAATTAATCTGTAATTAATATTGTAAAGGGCTTAATTTCAGAATAAATGTGTAAATTACTTGATTATCTCGGGTTGTACATAATTTACATTCATTATCGGGAAAACAGTTAATTACCTAGGAAAATTGTCTATGAAAATACTTGTTTACATTGTATCAAAGATTATAATCATATCTCTTGTCAGGCAGATAATTGTAATTTATTACACGTATTGAAATCTGAACAGTATACCGTTACGGCTATCTTCCCTTTGGTGAAACGACTGGTTCCTCAGGTGGGGCTACTATAAATACACGTTTCTTTTGTTAAAATTATACTTTTCTACATTTAAATCAATTATTTATTTCTAACATTGACAAATATCAAATGGAATTTCTTATTGTACACCTACAACTTCATGTCTTCATACAGTTTTACTTCCTATATAAGTATTCCTACGAGAGTAGGATGATGCATATTTAAAATAAAACAGATTTTATTTATTTCATCGAATATTCGAATATATTCGAATACTTTCATTGAATATTCGAATATGAATTATTGACAAAATTGACATCCCTACATAAAATTAAAACTATGTAGTCTATGCTTACAAAATTTTTAATGAACATAAAACAACAACAGTTAAAGAAATGTTGAAAATTTTAGCTTGATACCTTGAATATTTACCAAATTATCATAAAATAAAATAGACATTATATGATCAGCCGGCGCTGTCACCATTTAGTTTCATGACGTCATTGTTTTTCGATGTCCGCATTCTCTGCCTCATACACTTATCTTGATGAGTTTCCTTGGAGTTAAGTAAAGATTTAAACCCGTCTTGTTTATATGACTTTACAATGTCATACACAGCTGATTTCAGTGCATGTAATATTGCAAATTGATCTGAGAGATTCTCACTTGATTATAACAGCATAGTTGATTGTCGGAGTTCAACATCTATCACACATGATCAACGCCACTTTTCGACGTGAAAAACTTTGAACACCCTTACTACAAATCGACATTCACTTTTACATCTCTCGTCTCTTTAATCTTTTTCGGCGTGTAAAAACAAGTACTCTGAATGCATTTTATTTTTCAGTAGCCCATTTAAATATTTCCTAGGTCTATGCCAGTTTTTCCAGGGGGTGAAACTTTATAGAATGTTGGAAAAAGAAACCCACCCACCCTTTCTGACGTCATTACAACCCCATAATTGTTTGAACATTTCATATACATTTTACGATAAAATTTCATAGAACTTACAGAATGGGGTAAAAATTACAAATTTTACGGTACAATTGTGTCATACCACATGAGTGAATTAACGGGATTTTTGAATGACGAATGCTCTAAAAAAGAGTTTTTTCTAAGTTACACTTAGGTAGAAAAAACGTAATCTTCGAGGTTGCGCTGCCTGGACATACCATTGCTTTCAAAAACATCAACAATTTATTAAAAAATAAAACTAATGATGTATAGTTATTTATATATATAAAAACAATGATGCTAATTAAACGTTAAATAATTCATTGATGTATCTTAAGCGGTTTTAATTTTATGGCTCTAGTCCACGAACTTTCCGAACAACCCTCGTATTCCTTAAAATTTAATCAATTCAGTGTATTACATTACTTTTATTCCGTATGTTCCACTAGTACAGTTTGTCTGTATTATTGGAAAGTACACGTACTGCTTCTATTATCTGAGATAAATATATTTAGAAATTCATACATGAACTAATTCAATGTTCTAAATTCAGTTCTCAAGTTTTCAAACAGTAGGACTACATATTAGTATCTGCACTCCCTTGGATATCATTTATATAAGTTTTATACATTAATGGCATATTTTTATAATATTCACGGAAATGTGTTGTAAAATAAACACACATCAAAAAAAAAAAAATTAAGACTATCTAGTCAAATGAAAAGTAAAGAAAATAACAAATGAGCTGTTCCAAGCAACACCCCCCCCCATGTAATTTTTTTTTCGAAAATTACTTTTTCTTCAAATATAAAGTACACCTAGTGGTAAATATAACCTGTAAATATTACAGGTGAGTCTTGCCTCGTTATGGATTTACAGATAGTCAAAATATATGTTACTCGCCAAGCAAAACCTCCCTATAAGGACTTTTGGTCAAAATGTGGATTTTTGCATATCCTAGGAGAACATTAATTAAGCTCTTTACCATGAAGTGAAATATATGATGTATTCTGCCCTGACGCCATTTTCTTCTAGCGACGTCAAACGAAATGCATTTATCATGACACCATAAATAAGAGAGTTGTCGAACTGTTATCCCTTCACAAAAAAGGGAAAAAAGCTTTTTAAAGTTTAATACAAGTACAATGTTAAAATTTTCAAATTTACATGAGGGGGATGAATATTTTATTCAGAAGGGGGGGAGGGCATTTTTTATAAACAGATTTTTTTATCATTCCCTCTCAACACAGAATTTTTATTTCTAAGATGAACATAAGACAGATTATTTATTTTCTTCCCTGGAAGAAGATAAGCAAATAGAAAAAAAAGGAAAATAGAAAACCAAACTCTAAAACTGATGACTGTGTTATGCGGTGTGCGTTTTTTTTTTTGGGGGGGGGGGGGAGGGGGGGATCGAAGGCAAATTTAATGAAATCATACACGTATTAAAATTATAAGTGTTAACATTATCAAATTTTAATTATTATCATTCATAAGTCTTTTGATGCCTTGAAATTTCACCATTCACTACTCACCATCAACAGGAGTACAGGTTGTGTCTTTCCATGGATCTTGAACGAATGGACGGATTCTTTGATACAGGTACTTCTGTCTCTCCTTTGTTAAACTACCGGGTTGGATGGACCTTGGAAGAGCACTTGTATCGAAGAATATCTGGGTTGTTTTTCAAGAGTTTAAAAGCAACCTTTTATCGTCTTTTGATTTCTGGCAAAGTATGAATCCGGGCCTGTCTTGCGTAAATCTGAAAATTTGATACCTGGTATTCCCTAATCCTTTAACAGGAGAGAAAATAAATGAAAAAAAGCCATCCAATCTAATCACATCCATGTTTCCTCCCCCTCAAAAAGAACTGCGTTGTTCAAATAGCAGGTATCTGCAATACTGTTGCAATCTGTTCTCCTATACACACGCTTGATGTGGGCTAAGTTTGAGTCAAACAGGCATATATCAAACAATAATGAAAAATGCGTTGAATAATGGTATGCATTTTTAATTTAAAAGTGAAGCGTACCTTGCGTGACCTGGAACCTGCATCATAAAAGTAATTTGCTGCTGATGTTTATTGTTTATCTAAAACACTTACGTTAAATTGGTCCATCAGCATTCATTAATTTTCTTAGTTGAAAATGTAAAAAAAAATTGAGTGACTTACACATGCAGAAATGAAATATGCGTTTTCACGTCATTGATTTTAAAGGCAAATTTTGACGTAATTGAGCTAAGGGGGGTTTTTGTTGGCGGGTCACACTTTGAATAACATTTAGTATTGAAAAAATCCTGCAAATTAATGTGCGTAAATTATCGTGTGACCTTTTTACTCTGCAAAATATATTTTGGGTACATGTATTAAAAATCTACACAGGCAATACGTTTTTCCCCCAAGCTTTTTATAACTTTAGTGCTGATCAGTTGAAAGTATCATGTAGTTTAAAAGATGAAAGAAAAAATTGGGGCCATTGACGTAAATTTTGAGCCAATTATTAGCCAAAATATGCGATTTTCAGACAAATAAAAACATTGTAAATTTTCTGCTGCATGGATATGTAAAATTTGCTATAAAAATATTACTTAAAACGTATATTTAATATTCGCAGTAAATAATAACAAAAGAATTCTCTCAGTAAGGCCAACTTTAAAAACAATTGTTTGGTTGCCCTCTCCCGACCGACTGGCTCACAATGGCCCGACTCAAAATAGTTTCTTTCCACAAGGTACCTAACTCAACTTCAGTCAACCCCCCCCCCCCCCGGTTCAAACTCGTATTTTATTAATTTATCAATCATTAACCTTCTTTAGCAGGACATAGATGGCTTACAAATTCTTTTTTCTTTTCTACTGAATCGTTCCAGACTTCCTTCGTAGAGCCTCTAAAGTAATTGTAAACCACTCATTTCTCTCAACACATTTCAAGACGTTACAGAGGATACATTAACTTCCGGTTAGCAAGCGATAGCCGAGTGCTTTCAAGAATACTCGTCGACATCCTTAATATCTATAGTTTAAGGTATAAAGGATGTTGCTCGAGGGAAGAAATCCTACCTTAGTAGTACACTGGGTAATTTAAAGGCAGCACTGTGTAACAATGGAAAATTGAACGATAATTGCCTTTTTTTTTTTAATGAAAATCGACTAATAAAGGTGTATTTTAACAATAATTATAAAAATGTGTTAGACTTCCAAACTAATCTTAAGACGACTTAGTTTTCTTTTCCTACACATTCAACCTTGTCCTTTAATATTTTCAGTTTCAGATGTTGCCCGAGGGAAAAAATCCTACCTTAGTAGTACATTTGCTCATTTCAAGGCAGGACTGTGTAACAATGGAAAATTGAACGATTTTTGTCATACCAGATTGACCACAAACCCATGGTATCGGATCGATCTGGGGACAACCTACAACATTGACGAAGTGATAATCTATAACAGGAGAGACTGTTGTGGTAAGTATAATCCTAAAAGACTCTGCAATCATTATCCATGTTGTATTTTTGTTTATTTTGTTTCAAGTTTAGTAAAGGTTTTTTGAAATGGAAAGCTCAAATAAATATATCATGAAGAAGATATCGCCAAAAGATGATCGGTTGAAAATTTTCGACGGCGATTATAAACATTATTCAATAAAACTGAATAATTTAAGGTAATGGTTAAACGAACATCGATGTTATCTCCACACCAGTAGTTGTTGTTTACCCCAACAAAAGAAAATGAAATGATAAAAGGCATTCGAAATTTTGAAGTATGATATGACCGTAACAATTTAAACACATTCCAGCGAGAAGATGATGACCGCAAAACAGTTATATAGATGACCGTAATCTTTGTACAAAATCATGTTAGATGTTTTATATCTTATTTAACATCAATTCTACATGTTCTATAACACCCCTGTAAACAACTCTGATGCGATCGGCAACATTGATGAAATCAATGAAGAAGAAAGTGTCGTAGGGAGTAAGTTAAAGCAGTTTTGTATGTGCTGGAGTATAACCAGCTGTAAATAATGCTAGTAAATTTGTAAAATAATTTCTGTGCAAATGTTACGGATCAAATCGACAATGCTCCCAACATCGAATTTCCATGATTTGAGATAGTTTAGACTGTTATCATCTTTCAACATTGAAGGTCATTCTTAGAGGCATGAACTAGACATTTTAAAATTAAAACTGTTTATTAGCATCAAAACAACTTTTAATTGGAAATTTTGACAACTGCGAGGCGATCGTTAACGACATGTATCGTTTATTAAGCGATCGTATAACTTTTGAAATAGCGATCGTAAATTAAACGCATGAAAAAAAAATATATTAGCACAAATCAGAGTAAATTCTGTTTAGGAAGTGTTATTTCGATGTATAATATATTATTAAATTCAAATAATGCAATCGGTCATTGTGATATATCGTTTTTAACCATTAAAATTGACCTACATAAATATCAGAAATTAAACTTAACTATGTTAATCAAGGAGATATACGGAAAACGAAATGGAGGGCTCGCAAAATTTTACCTAAAAATTATAGCAGTTATAATTTCTCATTTAACAGTGATATAATATATTTCAACAGAATAGAATTTATTTGCAGGCACGTAGTATCGTTTTTTAAAAAGTGGGGGGGGGGGTAAAAATGTAAAATTACCTTAGAAAGTTTGACGAGGAAAATAGAAAAAGGAAAATTGTCCAAATTCGAAAAATCCTATATTGAATGTGTGTGTGTTGGGGGGGGGGGGGGTCAAATTCTTTCACAATCAAATTTTATTCACAAAGTACATGTATCACTTTTTAACTATCCTGCAAAAAAAAAAGAAGGGGGGAACCAACCTTTCAATGAACATTTCAACTGTTACAGTAAAAAGTTATGTTTAAAAAAAAAGTGGAAGGAAGCAGCCTCACTAACCTACCCCACCCCCTGTCACATTTTGTGATATCGCGATGAGTTGTACAACTCAGAGGCAATAAAGATTTGAATTGAATTGAGTTTAATAGAGTAAGCTATCATTAATTGAACCACAGGAGTTGGAATATGGCCTTTCTGAAATTTGTAACATGACGACTTTTGTAAGAAAGCAATAAAATATGTCAAAAAGGACACATACCTATCATTTCCCCGAAATTTTCCGTATTCCGTAAATAAAAAATATAAATACACTGTACTATAATAATAAAAATTTTCAGTAAAATGATAACACTTGTAATTTTAGTTTAATTGATAGGTATCCCAACTCCTGTAATTGTTATTTTTATATTATAGTGTATTAATTTTTTTTTATTTACTGAAAATTTCGGTAAAATCTATAGGTATGCCAACTCCTGTGATTGAACAGCCATTCCATAGACAATAAAACCTGTTTTTCTATAATCCTAAAATTCGGTCCTTCCAATACTTTTTGTTAGTATCTGATTTATTTTAATCGAGTGCCAATAGACAATTAAAAGCAAGAGTTCTGGATTTTTGATTTTGCTGTCTTAAAATGTGGACATTATCCAAGCAGAAGATTAGAAAATCTGCCCCCCCCCCCTTCTTAAAAATCAAATGTTCGGTGACCTGTTCTGTTTCAGCCCATGTAAATCGGTAATCTATTACTATATTTCATTAATCTGTTAAGGGTATTTAATGAATTTCAAATTGCACGATCGCATGTTTATCATATTTTCTTAGTTGTATGATCGCACATAGAATCGTTGCCGATCGTAAAAACGTTTGGCAAGTGTACACTTCAAATCTTTATTTTTACGCTTTCTGTTTGATATTACGGTCATCATAAAGAACGAGTGCACTTATGGGCCCCGGTAAAATGTGAAAAAATGAAGAATCAAATTAAGCATAATTTTTCATCTCAGATCATTAATTGATATCTAAACCATAAGATTCATCAATTTTTATTGGTGAAATTCATGAATATACAAAGAGCAAAGCCATACAAAGTGGTAGGGGTCAGCCGACATTCGTGATTTTCTATAGTAAATCGAGAACGGTCATTCATTTCAAAGCTTTTGTTTACTATCAGCCTAACGTTGTACAAACTTGTGCGAATGACAAAAAACGCATTATACATTTATAAACCTTGTGTGAAAGTAGGAAATTTGTACACGATTAGGCTTGTACTTAAAATATTAAAAATGTATGAAAAGTTCAATGTTTTTCCTATAGCAAGCGAGAGCTATTTACCTGTATGACCTTTGTTGAACCAACCCGTGGAATAAATTATTTAAAATACCGGTAGTCACGTGAGTTCTACCCAGGTAAACATTCCTCAAAGTGCTCACTGTAAAAGATAGCCACGTTTTGTATCATTATATCGAAGTCGTGCCGCATAGAGAAGTTTGTATATATTTGGTTTTATGAACACGGGAGGGTTAGGAGAGTTTAGTGTCGTTAAAATATCATCATACATAAAAGCGTCAATTAAACATTTTTAACATTCATGCAAGACAATGGTACCGGTATTGAAGCCACCTAAATACACTTCTTTTTCATTTTAAAATTCAAAGGAACTAATGTTAATACTTATTGTATTATTTCAAATGCAAGCGTGCAAATTTCTTAGTTTGATCACTATGGCTACAGGCATCTATACAACTTCATTCGATTTTTTTTCCTCAGGTAAAATAGCGCAAGAGGTATCATTCGGAAAACGTCCCCGTCAATGATCCACCATCAGATTCAAGTGTCCGATTTAAATGTCTCCTCCCTTGATTTAAATAAACGAAACTCAAAATAGGTTCGGCACGACTTTTCCGGATTTGGGGTATCTATATAGGCATTTAAAAATCTTTATTTGTTTCAAATCCATGCTGATTTAGGTGATGTTTTAACGTGATTTTAATTAGAAATATCCACTTTTGTTTAACTATTACCAAAAAAGAACAATTTGGTAATATATTCTAAAGTAAAACGGCACTGAAAAAGAGCCCATTAAGCATTGCTTAAATGCACTTGTCCAAATTACGGTCATCCCACTGCACTGAGTAAACCTCGATTACGATCATCTTAATATTTTGTTACGGTCATCATTCTCAAAAACTTTGAGATCGTGCTACAGCTTTATTTTCTTAAGTTCAAGTAAGCTGCAATAACCAATAGAAAGTTTTCATTAGCGTACATTCAATTTTCAGAGGAATTTACATAGATATGCTATCAAATATTTGATATCTTGAATGAAAAATTCTTACCGATCAGCTCGGCCGACATGTTTTGATGACCGTAAACTATATTACGGTCATCGGCTTTCCTACAGTGATATGATGGTACAACCAATATTGAAAATCAAAATCTCTTATGCCTCCCTCGTGCATCTCCCATAGCCTTGATTCTCCTTTGCATGGAATTCATCAGCGCATTTAATTTTCTCAAACAAATATTTTTTCCGACAATGCATCCCTTATCTGTTGGAGATTCGCCTCAGCTTTCCGACGCCTTCAAGCTCTACTGTTCAGTTAGTCTATCATATGTTCGATTAGAGAAAAATTAAAAGCTTAAGGAGGTTGGATCCTGCCATCAAAAGTAATGAGAATTTTTTATCAAGTATATTTTTGGAATTTATACACATAGCTTTATTAAAATTCAAAACAAAACTTTGGGGTCAATGCGCTTCTTTTGGCGCTACAGAGCATTTAGTTTGACCTTTTTGCACTGTAAATATGTCTTACACATAAATCAGTTTTTCCTCCAATATTTTTTGTTCAAATAAATTTTGGGAACGAAAACAGTCTTACTACATCTCAAATAGACACATTAAAATTTGTGACAACAAAGAAATTTTCTATTCCGCATGTTCCATTATTTGACCTTTTTGCACTCAAACATTTTCATTTTTCTGGCATTAAAAATTTATCAAGCAAAAAAATCATTTGAAAGTAATGACATTTTACTGAATTTAAGAAGAATGGTTAAAAGTATTGTATATATTCAGAAAAGAAAATTAAAAGTGGGGGTCTGTGATGTTAATTTTTAGATATTACTAAAATAGTGCTAATTTTAAGCTTAAATTAGAGCTATTTTTTCCTTCATTTTCACAATATATTTGCTATATTTCTCAAATATGATGATAGAATTCATGACATTTTATTTAATAGATAATTTAGGACCAGTATAAAACAGTTTACTGCACAAAATAACTATGTGTGCAGACTGCATGTAAAAATAGGAATCCAAACTTAACATAGTTTAAATACTTTGAAAGAGAAAAAATGATCATTTTCTTCTTAAAAAACCTTCCGCCACAAAATATAGTTCTTCACTTAATGCTTTTGGTATGGAGTTTAATCATGGAGTTTTAACTGAATGTAGTTAAATTGGCATTGTAGAATCCAAATTTAATGTTGGAATTAAGGCATAATGCAGAATTTTTGAAATATAGGTCAAGATAAAAATCTGCTCAAAAGCTCAGGAGCGAACCTCGTTAATGGAAGCCAGTCGAGTGGGTTAATGTGTGTGTTTGAGAGAAAGTCTTGGAAAACCCTGGCTACATTGGGCCTCGGGTAAACATGCTGAAAAATTAGACATACGACGCACGTGTGCACAAGTGAGAGGAACACCGCTGTGAAGTTGACGAGATTAAAAACCAAAATTGCGTAATCGTGTTTTTTTTTTTTTTTTTTTTTTTTTTTTTTTTTTTTTAGTTTATGGGCGAGCTTTCTATTAATCCTATTAATTTCATGGAAAAATATTGAAAAACAAAAAGTTTGAAAATTTGGACTTTTCAATTCACTTTCTTTTGCAACCGGACGTACTGACGACGAAAAATAAAGATTGATCAGCATATCTGCATGTGATGCTCTATCATGTCAGTGGGTTTCTTTTTCATATCTTTGGCCGTTCTCGAGAAAATGCCTGAACAAAATTCCATTTAAAAACGTGAGAAAAACGTCTATTCCTGAAACGTTTATCCCTGAAAAATCATTTGAATCCGACTTACTCTTGGCTGAGATATCGCGCCGCACTATAAAAACAGAAGAATAATAGGAATCGGATCGAAATGAATTTGATCACTTCATTCGAAAACGGTGAAGAAATAAACATCCCAATACTGAGGAAAAAAAGGGGGGGGGGGTTACCGGCAATGTTCTTTCTATATCAGTCGCAATCTGGTATATAGCCCTTACTCTCAAACATTTCTTAATTTCGAATTCTCTTAATCAAATTCCCATACGCAAAATGTAAAACACTTGCATTTAGCTTATACACAGAGAGCTTTTCTTGTATAGAAAAAACGTACTTGATACTTGTAAATTGTTTACAGTGTCATATAGGTCTGATGGTGCGAGTGTTTGTTTAAATTTATTTTTTAAATGCATTTCACAATTTGTTAGACTGCATATACAAAGCGACTACACAAAACTCAAATACAAAATAAACAAATAATAATTATGATGATTGAAATAATAATAATAAATAACATGAAAGTACATGTACTGTAATTAAAAATTTCATCCGTTTTTAGTGATTGATTTCATCCTGAAAAAGTTTCGCCCCGGCAAACATGGTGTAATACGCACTTCCCTTTGAGGTGCAAATTATGTGCGCACATACAACCCTTCAAGTTTTTGGCTAAGAAATTTACGATAATTTTCTTTTTGCATACTATAACTTTTACACTTACTCTTTTGATTGACTTTTATCCGTTTAGTAACACTTACAATATAAATTATTTATTTCATTTGGTATCGTATTTAGTTTGTTCTAAGACATTACACACAATCACATCAGAATTCAGACTGTAATTTAATAATAATACCCGATCTTGGTTCATGCATGTACGAGGTTTACGTACAATAGCAGGCACTTCGAATTAATCTACTTGATTCGTACCTGTAGACTATTTACATGTATGAAGTTATTTTCAGAGAATTATACGGGAAACAACGCAACGTCGCCTTTGTGACGTAACTGACTTCATAATCAAATGTGCACAAACCAACCGCTCGAATCGTCGAAACTGTGTACCAAAATTGATGACAAAAGCAAACCCGTGACCTACCATAAATACATACAAGAAAACATTGATGTAACCATCAATTGTCGCCCGGGAAATAAATAAAGTAAACAATGGAAATGAGTCTTGATCATCAAACCGCTTCGATATGTGTGAAAAAGGCATGCGTCTAAATGATGGAGACGATAGTAGAGACTATTTTGAAAACTTATAGTCGGATGAAAATCGAACAAAAACGATACCCTTTTGAACTTTATCAATTCCTCAAGTAAATGTTGGCTGCATAAAATATAATTTGAAACCAGACACATGCATCACCTATTTTCAAAAATGTCTTTCACTTTAAGATTATAAAACACGAACTGTGTAAAGTACGTTTTTACGTTTTTATGCGATAAGTAAAATTCGATGTTCTAAAAAAAGGGACCTGTCGTTTTTTCAATAGTAAATGATAAGCAACTTTATATATTAAATATGAAAAACATATATATTTTTACAGATTCACTTTATGGAAGTAAAATTATTGTGTATCTCGTAATTTATAAAGGGAAAGAACATTCTGATTAACAATCTTTTTAATGTTTAGAAAACCTTTAATTCTGAATAACTTCTCCCACCTCAATCCCCATATACCAACACTTAAACTTATATGTATAGAGCAGACCGGTCCTCCGGGTTGCAAAAAACATTCAACATTAGTGTGAACTAATTAGCATATAGCAGCTAATTATATATTATTTTTAACTATAAGCTCCTTTATTTCTTGAGCAAATTACCCGAAGTTCAAGCCTAGACACAAGTAAAGAACATTTGAAAAGAGTGAATTAGAGGCGGAAGTATGATTTTTTTTCATGACAACAACTATTAGTAGCAGAGAACATTAAATGCATATCCTGTACAATAATGTAACTCTTGAGCACATTGTGTGCAATGATTCATGTTTTGAAGTTATTTTGTAACCGAATGTTTGTAAAAATAGAAACAATTGAAGTTTGAATGCGACATATTGACCGTTACTTTCATGTTAAGGAGATTTTATTATTAAGAGAAAGTGCATTATTATAAATGTTATAGTGAAATATCCATGATCTCTTATCTTTAGTATCATGTATACAACTTGCCTTCATTTATAACGTCTAAACTTTTATGGGGTTCCGTAAGCCAACGCATTAGTACAACGTTTGCTAACTTTCAATCTGGACGGTAAATAACATCATTTATCTATCATTAATTTTACAATATTCAAATCTAGGGAATCGGTTCCGTGATGCTGTGATACAAGTTGGTGACTCACTAGCAAGTTTGAAGACATGCGGGACTTTCAAAGGGCCCGGAAAAAATGGTCAAATTATTAGGATTAAATGCCCAGGTGGAATGAGAGGGCGCTGGGTTCAAATCCAACAGAAAAATTATCGTGGCTACTTGAACCTTGCCGAAGTTCAAGTTAATGGATCATGAACTACTCATTCCATGCCTTTGGTAAGTAAATACAATATATTTTAGCAAGTCGGCTGAGCGCACTTTTTGATTCTTTGTGTGTGTGTGTGTGTGTGTCGCTTGTGTTGTTTGATAGATACATGAAGGTTTTTTTTTGTTTGTCTGTCCGACTGTCTAGCTGGGATAAATAGCGTATAACTTTTTTTATCTCAAATAAGATCATGAAACATCCTGAAAATATGCATTTAATATGTAAAATGTTGTTGGTCATTCATGTTCAAAATTATGATTTTGACCCAAAAATACTGTACTTAATTAAAATAGTCCTATATACAGTCATGTTACGTCACTGCTACGAGTAAGCGAGGTATCAATGTAAACTACACTTTCTTTTTCCAAGATGTAATATTTTTATCGGCTCGACTTAAATTACAAGGTATTTTGATAATATTTTAAATCTCTCTTGTCAAAAAAGATTGATTGTTGTTTAACGTCCCTCTCGAGAATTTTTCACTCATATGGAGACGCCACCACTTGCCGGTGGAGAGCTGCAAATTTTGTCCTATACTCGGCACTTACGGCCATTGAGCAGTGAGGGATCTTTTTCGTGCCAGCACCTACTGCGACACGGGACCTCGGTTTATACGGTCTGATCCGAAGGACCGGTATCCACGTCCCACAATGGGATTCGAACCCGCGACGTAAGGATCAACTCTTTACTTCGCGACTCTAGAGCAGACGCTCTAACCACTGCGCCACGCGGGCGACTGTCAAAAAAGACTGTAATGATTGTAATGGACAAGTTTAACGGGAAATTATCAAAAAGGGGAAAGAAATAATAATCTTAGAAAAACCTGTTGAGGAAACAGATATCATAAACAGTATTTCTATAAATGAATACTCTGCAATAAATGGCTCATTCTTTAATAACTTGCTTTCATAAATCAAATGTACATACCCAGCAGGCACGCAACGTTGTTTCAACGTTGAAAGTAGGTGGAATATAGGTTGCAACGTTGAATAACTATAGTTCAACGTTGTTTCAAATTATTTTAAATTTGAAGCGATGTAAAAAATGCAGCACTTTGAATGTTCGTTAATATTTCTACAGGATGCAACATATTTTCAACGTTGAAAAAGTGAGGAAAATTTAATGTTGAAACAACGGGTAATGAGAGCCTTATTTTTCGAGGTCAAAATAGTAAGGGTAAATATTGAACGCTAAATCAGTGTAATTTTTTGCTATATATATATATATATATATATATATATATATATATATATATATATATATATATATATATATATATATATATATATATATATATATATATATATAGTTATAGTTATATAGTTATATATAGTTATATATATATATTTATTTATAATTTTAATTATTCATTACAGAGTTCGTCAAAAAAAGAAATGGGGGACTACCAGTAAATGGAAATCACTATGTATTCATCAGGAAAAGAACTTTAAATTTCTGAAAACTGCAATGGAGAAGAGGAACTATACAAATTATTAATCATGCACGCATGAAAATATAATTTATTTAATAAATATGAAAAACCGCAGATAACTAAGTTCTTTTAATAAGGCTTTGTTTCAACATGCTAGCCCAATGCATGCATTCGAGACAGTTATTTTGGTATTTATAAGTGAGAAAAAATATACATTGTATTCACAAACTTGGCTATTCTTGTATATAAACTTGTATAATAAAAATTTACATGAGAATAATTTTTTGCCAGAACAATTTCTGTCATAGTTACGCAAAAATAAAGCTCTCTCAAATAAACAAGAGGCTTATGGACCACAAGGCTCATTTGTGTTATTTTGGCCCTACTGCTCTTCACCAGCATTTTAAAAAATTTCCCACTTGATTTCTTAAAAAGATTGACTCCATATTGTGGATCAAAATATAACCTTAAGGGAGCTATGATTTAATCAAGTTGAATCCACACAGCATTGGATTGCTTCAATATCAAATCAATACTGTACTATCAAAATGGTCCTGCCGTATAGGAAAAAATATTATTTTCTTGTACGCATGCATTATGTAAAATTTGGGTCTCTGATTTCAGCCCAACCCTAACCCCAGGGCTTATAATTTAAAAAAAAAAATGATTCCATAAAACTAAAGAATATTTGCTTAAAAATTAATATGCATTAGGGCCCGGTGGTCTTGCCACTCTTGAAAAGATTTCTTCCAATATACACTGTACTTCCTTGTAAAACTCTGATGCCCTATTATAGTCTCAACCTACCACCAAGGGCTCTTATCTGCACAAAATTGAATCTAAACTATTTGACGATCGTTGCATATCAATATGAATTATAATGGCTTTAGTGTTCATTAGAGGAATATTTTTCCAATATATTCCTTCCTTTGTAAACATCTATAGGGGCCACACCATACCCCCGAGGCCATGATTTGAACAAACTTGAATCTAAACTCCTATGGATGCTTGACTAATCATGATTTTGCTGTTCTTTTATATGAAAAAAAATTTAAATATTTTTTTTTCTTATATATATTCCTAAAAATACAATTTGATCGACTAACATGGTTCCCTGGGTCATAATTAGAACAAACTTAAATTTACGCTAAGGATGCTTCCATATTAATATGACAAATTTTAAAGCTTCTCTCAGGTTTGAAAACATTTTTAAAGATTTTCCTATATATTCCTATGTAAATCTTGATCACCTTTTGTGGCCTCATTCTTCCCCCAGGGGTCATGATTTAAACAAACTTGAAACTACACTAACTGAGGATGGTTCCGTATAACTTATCAAGTTATCGTGGTTTTGCTTTTTTCAGAAGTTAAAAAAAATTCTTTATATTCCTATGAAAACTATGATCGCCTATTGTGGTCCCACCAAGCCCCTGGGGGAAATGATTCGAATACCGATAATCCTGAATCTTCACTATCTGATAATGGTTCCATATAAATATGACCAGGGACCTATTGGTCCCTGATATGACTAATCATGGCTTTGCTGTTCTTAAGAAAAGATTTTTAAAGATTTTACTCATATATTCCAGTGTAAAACATGTAAAACTTTGATTGTATGTGCGGTACCATCATACCCCTCGGGCTACTGATTTGAACACAATTGCAACTTCTGGGGCCTTTCCAGTAAGTGGATGTGTTCCGTAGGCATCCATGATATCCCCCCCCCCCTTTTATCATAAACATTGAAGTAAATGTGAAGAGACCTATTATCTGTAGAATATGGATCTAAACTTTATTGAATTCAACAATGTAACCTGATGCATACTTCAGACGAGGTATCAACGCTGTCTAGCCAATACCTAGATTGAAAGGAAGCGAAACCATTTTGTATAAAATTTTGACATCTGGTGATGTAATTATATTCAAGGTTTCGAGCTTTCCAGAAAAACCAGAGAAGTAGCGATTGGATTTGAACACACTTGAATTTAGTACACTATCTGAGGATGTATTTATATAAATATGACTAATCATGACTTTGCTGTTCTTGAAAAGCCTTTATCTATAAATTTGATAGCCTCTCAGGCCTCGCCATACTTCCTTCGGGTCATGGTTAACAATCTTGAATCTTCTGACTACACTACCTGAGGATGTTCCCTTATAAATATGACTTATCATGGCTTTGATATTCTTGAGAAGATTTTTTAAAGATATTTTCTTATATATTCCAATGTTATGATAAGGGCCATGACTATGACTTGAATCTAAGCAACCTTAGAATGCTTGCAAATATTTTTAGTTTTATGTCTAATCATGGCCCTGCTGTTCTTTAATTTTTCCAAAATGTAAATATATAATAAAACTTGGATACCCTAATGTGGTACAACCTTACTTCCAGGGCCATGACTTGAACAATTTTGAATTAACAGTACCTGTGGCTACTTGCATATTAACATGACTAATCATTGTCCTCCTGTTATTGACAAGATTTTTACTTACATATTCCCATGTTAAACTTTGATTCTCTATTGTGGTCCTATCCAACCCACGAGGGCCATAAATTGAACAAACTTGAATTTACACTATGTCAGGAAGCATTCAAGTAAGTCTTTTTTTTCTGGCTCGGTGATTCTTGAGATTTTTTAAGACATTTACTGTACTTTGACATTTTCTTGACTATCTTTTTAATTAAATGAAAAGAGCCTGACCCTTCAAATCCGGCAAACATGAATTTTCTTAACCCTTGGGATGCTTTGTGCTAAAAGTTCGGTTGAAATCTGTACATTGCTACTGCAGAAGAATCTTTTGGCTCAGGTGAGTGAAATAAAACTTTTCTAGAATAGCAGAGCCACTGTTAATTAAATATTAGCAAACATTTCCATGTATTTTATATTCAAGCTGGTTCATATTATGGCTCCAGGAATTAAGGTTGGGTCAAAACAGAGGTTATTTTTCATGTCAATTTTTAGAGATGTAAAGGAAGGAATTTTATGAAATTATTCCTTTTCTAAAACAGAGCCATAAATTAAAAAAAAATACGAGGGCATATAGAATGATTTATATTTGTTCAATTTAGCATTCCCTGAACTAGGGTTGGGCCAGTGTAGGGGTTGGAATATCTATAATTTTTTAAAATCACCTCGAGAACAGCAGGATCACAATTTATCATTTTCATATGCAGACATCCTAGTATAGAACATTCATTATGCACCAAAATCTCAGGTTGTTTGGTGAGTCCACAATAATGGGTGAAAGTAAAAAGCATGAAATCGAATGAAAAACTAGTGGGCATTTTTTTTAACAAAAAAAAAATCTTCTCCCCTTCTTTACCAACATTAACGAGTGCAATAATACGATCAGGGTCAAATATAGTAATGAAGTGCATCTCAGCTCAAATTCCTCGATCTGTGTACAGAATTTCAAGTCTTCGTGTCAAAAGGATCTTAAGTTATGGTCTGATCGTGACTTTATTAATTTAACCTTGAATGAGGAAAGTGGTCAAGGTCAAATATTTTGATGCAGTGCATTTAGTTTTAATATTTTCTTTCATTGTTCCAAGTTTGAAATCCTGATGTCAAAATGTTCTCAAGTTATGACCTGGACTATATTTTATTGTTAAAGATTAACCTTGACTTTATTAATAGGTCAAGGTGAAAAAAATGTTGGCATTCACCCTTCCTCTATACCACCTCTCCATGTTCCAAATTTGAAGTCTTAATGTCAAAGGGTTCTCAAGTTATGGTCTAGTCGTGTTTTCTCAATTTGACCTTGATAAAGAAAGTGGTCAAGGTCAAAAGATCGACCTTAAAATAATTGGATCAAGGTCTAATATTTTGATGACATGCACCCCTCCTTCATGCCATCTCTGTATGTTCCAGGTTTGAAGTCTTAATGTCAAATGGTTCTCAAGTTATGGTCAAATCATGTTTTTTTCTTTATTTGACCTTGAAGGAAGAAAAGGGTCAAGGTCAAAATTTTGATGCAGTGCATCTTGTATCAATGTCTTCTTTCTATGTTACAAGTTTGAAGTTCTAATATCAAAGGGATCTAAAGTTATGACCTTGACCTTAAAAATAGGTCAAAGTTACAAATTTGGGTGGCGTGCAGTCCTTCTCAATGTCATCTATATTACAAGTTTGAAGTCCTAATACCAAAGGGATCTCAAGTTTTGACCTTGACCTTAGAAATAATTTGTAAGTACAGATTCATCAGGTTTATCTTGTTTTATTTCAATTTTTGAGTTTAAAAAACCACTGCAACCAAAATTAAACGATTTTAGTCTTTCTGCTTAAAGTATTTACTAACCCTTTTCATTGATGACTTAATTAAAGTAATAAAGGCTACCCCTAATTATCTTTTCATTTTTAAATGAGGAATGGATATTGCATAATATATGTTAAAAGCAAAACATTTCACCATTTATTTTTTTTAATTTGTCAATTCCTTTGTTTACTGGGTAGTTTTAGTATATAATTGTGTATAAAACCACGAAAAATTGTCCATATTTTGAAATTGCCCCTATTTCACTTCAATAAAGGCAAGCTAACAAAATTTCATTTTAATATTTCTTAGCGTAATTCATACAAATATATATCCTTAAATTTAAAATTTTTATCGGTCTGTTTTTTGTAATTTCCAACTAGATTGGGCCTCGTTAAGTTACGGCCCGGACAAAATATGAAGAAAAAGAATAAGACAATCGACAAAAACAATATGTCTCCCCTTGGAAGGGGAGATATAATCTCCCCTTGGAAGGGGAGACATAATTCTTAAAAAGAGCTTGAGTAACAGAACTCGACTTGATCACAATACCAGAATCTGCTGGTCTCTCATCTGGAGACTGTAGGGGAGTCCCTGCATCCAAAGTGTATCTTAGATGCATACTCCAAGTAAGTTACATCCAGGTAGGGCTTGTACTAGGTACTAGGTACATGTTACCTGGAAATGAATTTACTAAAACTTTAACTGGGACAATGATGTTAAGGATTACAGAATAAGCTCATTTCGTTTTGTCAAGGTGAAAAAAAAATCAGAAGTCAGTGATTTATAAATTGTATTGATAATGAACACAAATACATAAAGTATTATATAAATCAGATATCTGCTCAGTTAAAAACTTGTCACTGCACATATTTTACCAGTTAAAACAATAATCATTAGTCCTGTGAATACTTTATCAGTTACATGTATAAAACTTTTTCACTGCAGATACTCTACTAGGTTAAATCCACATGCCTGCTTTTCCTCCTGGTAGCCATAGCTGCTTATTCTTTTTTCACCTCTTCTTTCTGATTTTCCTCCATGTTTTTATCAAGTGAGGGATATCACTGTAGTATCCTTTGCTCATTTTGTCATAAGCAAATCAAACAACCAAAAACCTTAAAATATCCTTCCAATCACGAACTGAGTAAAACACTTATAAAAACATTCTTAGATTTTTTTTCTAGATTTCAATATCCATAAACTGTAAGTCTAAAATCAGCAGGATATCATTGGGAAGAGGGTTCTGAGAGGGTGATAATATGTTGAAGGTTTCTTTTTCTGTGTCCAACCCTGATCTAAAAATAAGAATATACACAATTTTATTTTGGAAGATTGCACAATTAATTGTACATAAGTACTTTATTGTACATAAGCAACACACTTAAAGATTTTGGGGTCATATCAATTCCTCTGCCTGTGCGTATGTTTGAATGTATATCCATAATACTTATGTTGTGACATGAGAACTTAAACAGGTTTTTAGCGTAATGTTTTCCAGGTTTTCAGCGTAATGTTTTCAAATTCTGTACAGAAGAAATTTACTATAAAAGCAAGACACCTATAGATTTTGGGGTCAAATAAATCTGTATATATGTCTGTACTACATAGGTTTGAAGGTATATCTTTGTCACTTTTGTTGTGACACATTAGCTTTATTAGTTTCAACAAAACATTTTCATTATTTTACTACAAGAGAAAGGCTGTTATAAATTTAAGCATCATGTCACTTTTCCTATATGTATGTATGCATAAATGACTGCATATCTACTAAGTACAGTTGTCAATTTAACAGCCCTTAGCGGAGCCCTCTCTGATTGTCTCAATTTTCTAGTCTGTGTCAAAAAATATCTATTCCTTCAAGATACATACATGTAACACAAACAAAAAATTTGATGCATGGATTGATATATATAATTATTTACAATTCCACTTTTCTTCTCATTTTTAGTGCACTTATACATTCACAAAGTAGTTTTAAAACTGAAAAAAATCTAATCTGTACCATGTGTTGATACTAAATTTAAAATCATTGAAGTGTTATGGATATTTTTTTATGAACAGTATACTGCTGTACAAATTAAGAAAGGAGGTGTGTATCAAAATTCAGTTCTTTTTTAAGTGGAACCACTTGCATAACCTTGTAATTGTTATATTCCATCATTTCAATTAATCCCACCCTTCCCCTGACTTTTCTACTGGGGGAAATTAGAGAGTTCGAGTTAAAAATAGCGGGGACCCACAACTTGTTCTAGAGGAACACTTCAAGTAAGTTTACATAGTAGCAGAGCGTACAGAAAACCAAAACAAGAGGCCCAGGGGCCACATAGCTCACCTGAGCACTGTGGCTAGGAAAAAAGAAAAAATCAGTTTAGTATTGAAAAGCTTAAATGCATAAGTGGTCCCAACCTACCCCTAAAAGTGAGTGGGGGGATGGGGGGGGGGGTGATTTGAACAAAATTAAATCTACTCTTACTAATGATGCTTACATAATTTCCGACTAACTGTGACATTTTTCTCTACAAGTTTGAACTTTCATTGTGGCCCCACCCTAACCCTGGAGGTCATGATTTGAACAAACTTGAATCTACACTATCTGAGGATTCTTCCATATAAATATGACAAACAGAGGCTTTGCTGTTCTTGAGAAGATTTTGAAAGATTTTTTCCTATATATTCCTATGTAAAACTTTGATCGTTCATTGTGGCCCCACCCTACCCCCGGGGGTCATAATTTGAACAAACTTGAATCTACACCACCTGAGGATGCTTCCACATAAATATGACCAATCATAGCTTTGCTGTTTTTGAGAAGATTTTTGAAGATTTTTCCTATACACACTATACACCTATGTTTAACTTTGATCATCTATTGTGGCCCCACCCTACCCCTGGGGGTCATGACTTAAACAAGCTTGAATCTACACCACCTGAGGATGCTTCCACATATATATGATCAATCATAGCTTTGCTGTTCTTGAGAAGAAGATTTTTGAAGATTTTTTTTATATATTCCTATGTAAAACTTTGAGCGTCCATTGTGGCCCCACCCTAGCTCTGGGGTCATGATTTGAACAAACTTGAACCCACACCGTCTGAGGATGCTTCCACATAAATATGACCAATCATTGCTTTGCTGTTCTTGAGAAAAGATTTTTGAAGATTTTTCCTATATACACCTATGTTATACTTTTATTGTCCATTGTGGCCCCACCCTACCCTTGGGGGTCATGAGTTGAACAAACTTGAATCTACACCACCTGAGGATGCGTCCATATAAATATGACCAATCATAGCTTTGATGTTCTTGAGAAGAAGATTTTTGAAGATTTTTCCTATATATTCCTATGTAAAACTTTGATCGTCTATTGTGGCCCCACCCTACCCCCGGGGGTCATGATTTGATCAAACTTGAATCTACACTACCTTACAATAATTCCACATGAGTTTCATCTTTCCTGGCCCATTGGTTCTTGAGGAGAAGGTTTTTCAATAATGCCATTAATTTTTTGCTATTTCGTAATTATCTCCCCTTAGAGGAGGGCGTGGCCCTTCATTTGAACAAATTTGAAACTCCTTTACCCAAGGATACTATGTGCCAAGTTTGATTGAAATTGGCCCAGTAGTTCTGGAGAAGAAGATGAAAATGTGAAAAGTTTACGACAACGCCAACAACAATGCCTACGACAACGACGATGACAGACAACGGACAAATTTCGATCAGAAAAGCTCACTTGAGCCTTCGGCTTAGGTAAGCTAAAAACACGAAAAAATGGCAACGGCTAATAATTTCAAGAATCCATCCATGTTTGATCAGAAAAACATGACATATGGGACATGGAAGAATGAAATAGAGGTATGGCGGTTAGTAACAGAACTGAAACCGGAGAAGCAAGTGCTTGCACTTTCACTCTAACTGACCGGGAATGTAAGAGAAATGGCGATGGAATTTCCAGCAGAAGATCTAGCAGACAAAGACGGTATGAAAAAGTTGATGGAACATCTTAGGCAAGGTATTTTTAAATGAGATAAGGACAAAGCCTATGAAGCTTACAAAAACTTCAACTCCTTTAAGAAATCAGAAAATAAGTAAATGTAAGACTACATCATTGAATTTGATAAACTTTACAATAAGGCCAAGAAGTTTGAAATGGCACTTCCAGAGGCCATTCTAGCGTTTAAACTTTTAGACAATGCAGGATTTTCACCACAGGAAAAACAGCTTGCATTAACAGCTGCTAGTGATCTGAAATATAAAACCATGAAATAAGCCCTTCAGAGGATCTTTGGGAAATGTGCTGGAACAGACAATAATATAAGCACAACAAGTATTAATGTAAAACAGGAGCCTATTTTTTATACCCAACAGAGAAAAGGTGGCTACAGTGCAGAGGCAAAAGGAAAACAGCGAAGTACAAATCCTTTAAATAAGTTTGGCAAGCGAACAAAATGTGCGATATGTCAAAGTGTGTTCCATTGGCCTAAAGACTGTCCTGAAAAGAATCCTGTGAAAATAACAGAACAGAATGCGGAAACAGTGGAAGATTGTAACCTGACACTCATTACCAAAGAACAACCCTCGGCAAATGAAATATTTGTCCTGGAGTCAAGTGGAACTGCAATAATAGATACAGCATGCACTCGGACAGTATGCGGTGAGAAGTGGTTTAATGGATTCTGTGAAGAATTAGGCAAGAATGTCTCGACTTCACCAAGCCATCGAGCATTCAAATTTGGGGATGGGAAAATTGTATATTCTTTCCAAAGTGCTTCTATAAATGCAGTAATTGGCACCATTCATTGTAAAATTGACACAGAGATTGTGAAAGCTGATATTCCACTTCTGTTGAGCAAACCATCACTCAAAAGAGCAGGAGCTATTTTGGACTTGAAAAATGATAAAATATCCATGTTTAATCAACCAGTTGAGCTAGAATTCACATCAAGTGGGCACTATCATGTGAAAATTTATTTTGGATACAAATTTTAAAAAAGGGAACACTGTGATGAGATCTGAGGAGGTGTTGGAAGTTGCACAAGAGTTGAGCCCTGCAGAAAAGGAAAAGATACTAACCAAACTTCACAAGCAGTTTGGACATGCCAGTAGTGACCGCTTAGCACAGTTGCTGAGAAATGCAGGAACAACAGACAATGAAACATTGAACTTACAACATACTGTATGTGACTCGTGTGAAGTTTGTATGATCAACAAGAGACCTTCACCAAGGCCAGTGGTGGGACTTCCTTTAGTAACTGAATTCAATGAGATGGTGGCTGTTGATCTACATGAACTAGAGCATGGGACATGGTATTTACATATTATTGATGAATTCACTAGATTCAGTGCTGGAAGCATTATGAGGTCAATGAATTCCTCTGAATTTGTTCAGAATTTTATGAAGTTTTGGATAGCAATGTATGGACCTCCCACATGCCTTTACATTGACAATGGTGGTGAGTTTAACAATGAGGAGGTGCGGGACATGGCTAAAAATTTCAGCATAGAGATAAAGACAACAACAGCTTAGTTCGTGGAGTAATAGCTTGATTGAGAGACACAATCAGACCCTTACAGAAATTCTACATAAAGTAAAAGCAAACAACCGCTGTGATTGGGATACAGCTCTTAGCTGGGCGCTTATGACAAAGAATGCTTTAAGCAATGTACATGGATTCAGCTCACACCAGTTAGTGTTTGGAAGTAATCCACGTCTTCCTAGTGTCTTGATGGACAAGGTACCAGCCCTTGAGGGGACAACCATGACTGCACTGGTAGGAAAACACATTGAAGTTTTACACTCAGCCAGAACTGCATTTACAAAGAGTGAATGTTCAGAGAGGATTCGAAGAGCCTTAAAAAAACAGATTCCTCCTAGTGGAAACACTTTCAAGACTGGAGACAGAGTATTTTATAAGAGACCAGACAGCAGGGAATGGAAGCCCTAACAGAAAATTACTATAGTTAACTAGAAAATGACTGCAGTGACACAATAAAAATTTCAAAGGGTCAAATTGTAAAGTAAGAAAAAGCAGAGTGGTGAAAAATGTGTAGCAAAGGTAATTGGACATGCAGGCAAAGCAACAGGTACAAACAGAAACTGGTTTAATCTGCAACAACCTGAGTCTCAAAAGGATGTAGAAATTTCTGTTGATCTGAGTAAAGTACAGGAACTGGAAACATCAGAAAAAGACATTCAGTGTGCAAAAGAGAACAATGATATTACACAAGAGGACAATGTAATGGTTCTTACAGATGTGAAATTCAAAGAAGCTGAAGAGAGAGAGCTTGCCTCATGGAAAACTAATAATTTGTACGTTGAAAGAAAAGACAATGGACAGAAGTGCATCTCAACAAGATGGATTTGTAGTTTGAAGGATACAGCAGAAGGGACAATACAGAAAGCAAGACTAGTGGCAAGATTTTTTGAAGATGCAGACAAGGATGACATACCTAAGGATTCACCAACCTGTGGTTCAGATTCCCTCCAACTAGTACTAGCTATAATATCACAGAGGAATTGGAATGTGCATACTATGGACATCAAAACTGCTTTTTTACAAGGTGAGAAATTGAAAGAGAGATATATATGACATCCCCTGAATCCAATTGCCCTGGTATCATATGGCAGCTACGGAAATGTGTATATGGACTTTCAGATGCATCTCTCAACTGGTATAAAAGGATCAAAGATGTTTTGAGTATGAGTGGTGTTGAAGTTTCGAGAGTCAATCCAGCCATCTTTTTCTGGAAGAACAAAGAGAGGAGAGTAGAAGGAGTATTAGCATGCCATGTTGATGATTTTCTTTGGGGAGGATCCAGTGAATTTGAAAACACTGTAATCAATCAAATAAGATCAACATTCCAAGTTGGAAGAGAAGATCATGAAGAAAATGGCTCTTTTCCATATGTTGGAATAGAACTGTCAAAACACAAAGACACCATTCAGCTTAGTCAGAAAAAGTATCAAAACAACTTATAATTCATTCCCATAGACAGGGAATTATAGCTCACTCCAATGGAAAAAGAAATCCTTCAATCTAAAATAGGGCAAATTTTATGGATTGCCAGGCAAAGTAGACCTGATGTGATTTTTGATGCTTCGAACCTTGTGTCGTCTCTAAAGAAAGCCAACGTTCAGACGTTAGTTGATGCCAATAAGATTACCAAAAACATTAAGTCAGAAACAGTACTGCTGAAGTTTCCCAAAATTGGACCAGAAAATGCAGTCAGACTTGTCATCTTCACCAACTCCTCTCTTGGAAACTTACCAGAGGAGGGAATCAGGGAGGACACTTTATTGCACTTGCTAAAAAATGGACAATTTTCACCATTAACATGGCAATCCAAAAGAATTAGAAGAGTTGCAAGAAGTACTCTAGCTTCAGAGACTTTGGCAATGGCAGAAGCAATTGACAGCAAAATTTTTCTAGCCTCACTCTACACATAGCTTATGTATGGAAAAGCAGAGCCAAAGAAGTTACCAATTGTGTGCCTGACTGATTGTCAGTCATTAAAGGATGCAATTAATTCAACTAAACAAGTGGCAGAAAAACGAAACGACTTTGACTTGAGATAAGTAGCATCAGAGAGTTGATGCAACAGGAGCAGATTCAGGAAGTGAGATGGATTAATAGCAAAGAACAACTTGCAGATTGTTTGACAAAGAAGGTAGCTTCAAGTCTTAGTTTGTTCAAAGCACTACAAGAGAGTGCTTTGGAGTTGAAGTCTATGAAACAGTAGTTATGTTTGAAGAAGACATGTAAATAGTGTAAATGCGTTATTATTTGCAGTTTATTTGGATTATGGAAAAAACAAAACAAAAAAACAAAACGAAAAACTGTTGAACATTTCTTTAAAGTAAAAGAAAGGGAGTTTGTTATATTCCATCGCTTCAATTAGATGCACCCTTTCCCTGACTTTTCTACCGGGGGACATTAGAGAGTTCAAGTTAAAAATGGCGGGGACCCATAACTTGTTCTAGAGGAACACTTCAAGTAACTTTACAGAAATCTCCTAGAAAACTCTCGAGGAAAACAACATCTTTAACTCAGTTTGATTTAAAATCCTTTCTGTTTTAGTTTAATTTTCTTTCTTTCTGCTCTTTTCAACTAGGTTATAAATATCTTTTCCCTTTTACTTTTATGAATAAAAACTAGGAATAGTAGGAAGATTTTAAGGAAAAGTAGGAAAAAGCAGGATCAAAGAAAAATAGAAGGTAAAGTAGGAACAGGAAAGCCTGCTTTGGATGTTTATCATAACATAACAAGAAAGGCTGTGTAGACAGATTTTCATAGAAAAGATTTGGTCCGATTATCATCTGGACTAGATGACCACTTACATGACAACATGGCCTAAGACGTTGGACTCGATCACATTATCCTCTATACTGGAGGCTGAGCTAACACTGAACACATGGTGTAGAATATTGATTCCTACAAAAAAAACCCACAATTATCAGCAATCATGGATAATAAATGTTAAAAAAAATTATACCACTTTAAATTAGAGTGCATTCACTTACATTTGCACTTTAAAGGTGCTTAGACACAGATTTGAAGTTAATATTTTCACAAATTTTCTGTATAATATCACGACTTATATATTGCAATAGCATTTCACACGAAAATATAATTAAAGACTTATTTTATCTGGAAATTATTGGAACTACGAATTCCTGGATGCGTTTGATTAACACATCCTTGCACTTTCACAAATTTTATCTTTATCCTTAATATTTAAGAAAAGAAGCGATTTTGTTGTATATTAATGAAAAACATTACATCTATTATCCGGAAAATTCAGAGTAGAAATGTGCAAAAGCAAACCCCCTTACTAATATCGTCAACCCGTGCTCAATGTTGTGTACAGAGTTTAACAAATTGAATACACCCGTGAAACGTAAACTGTTTTTGTAAATAGGGCACGAGCTCTGTTATTGTTAATGTTTACGATTCAGCGGGTGTGTTCAATTGTTAAAGTCTGCACACATCACTGAGCACGGACTGACAATACTGTGAGTGGGTTTTGCTTTCGAACATTTCTACTCTGAATTTTCTGGATTATAGTCATTGTTTTAATATTTTTCATTAATACACAACAAAATTGCCAGTTTTCGTAAGTATTAAGAATAAAATTAAAATTTGTGAAAGTGCAAGGATGTGTCAATCAAACGCGTCCAGAAATTTGAAGTTTCAATAACTTCGAGATGAAATAAGATTTTTATTATATTTTAGTATGAATAGCAACATATAAGTCATGAAATTATACAGAAAATTTGAGAAAATATTAATTTCAAATCTGTGTCCAAGCATCTTTAAAATTTTGCTTCATAAAAAAAATCATGTAATTATAGATTTGGGCTCTTTAAGATTTGGAAAATCAATTGTGAATAATAAGTCTCATATACTGATGATGAACATGAATTTGGCAGACCACAACTATGAGGGGGAAAAGGCTAATTAAAGCTCAGTTACCATTAAACACTTAATTAAATTTTTTTGTTAATTCACACAGGACTTGCTGTGCAATTGGTAATGAAAGTAAATCAGCACTGCTGCCTCTGTCAAAAGATTCTTGCCTGTCCTCTACCAGGGTGTGATCAGAACTTCAATATTGGGGAGGGGGGGTATAAAAAGCAACAAGAGGCCCATGGGCCACATCTTACCCCCAAGGTCATGATGATTTGAACAGATTTGAATCTACACTACCTGAGGATGCTTGCATATTAATATTACTGATGAAGACCATGCAGTTACTGAGAAGATTTTCAAAGATTTTTTCCTGTATATTTTTGTGTAAAACTTTGTGATCTTGATTTGAATTAACAAGAATCTACACCACCTTGAATGCTTGGTTGCAGATTAATATGACTTATCAGGGCCTTGCTGATTTTTTACAAGAAGCTTTGTGAATATTTTTTCCGATATATTCCCATGTAAAAATTTGTTCCTTTATTGTAGCCCCATTTCACCCTTTGGCGCTTGAATCTACCTCAACTGAAATTATAAGATTAATCATGGCCATGCTGTTCTTGAGAAGAAGATTTTTAAAGATGTTTTCCTACATATTCCCATGTAAAACTTTGATCCTTAACTGTGGTCCCACCCTACCCCCTGGTGCCATGATTTCTTCAAACTTAAACCTACACTTCTTGAGGATGCTTGCATATTAATATCACTCATCATGACCTTGCTGTTTTAAGGAGATGTTCTCAGATTTTTTTTCCACACATTTTTTTCTACGTAAAACTTCAAACCTTTATCATGGTCCCATCCTACCCCCTGGGGCTGTAATTTGAAAAAACATGAATCTACACTATTTGAGGATGCTTGCATACATGTATTAACATCACTAATCATGGTATTGCTGTTCTTGAGAAGAACATTTTTAAAGATGTTTTCCTACATATTCCAAATGCATGTAATATATGAGGACGCTTGCATATAAACACGTTTGCCTGCATATTCCCATGTAAAACTTTGATCCTTTATTGTGGCCTCACCCTTCCCTCTGGGGCCATGAATTGAATTAAATTGAATCTACACTACCTGAGAGCACTTGCATATCAATATCGCTAATCATGGCCCTCCTGTTCTTGAGAAGAAGATTTTCAAAGTTTTTCCCTTTATATTCCTACGTAAAACAATGATCTCCTACTGTGTCCTAACTCCAGCCCCTTGAGCCATGATTTGAACAAAGTTGAATTTACACACGTCAGGAAGATTCCACCTTAGTTTCATCTTATGGTCCAGTGGTTCTTGAGATGATTTTCAAATAACCCCAACAACTTTCACTATTTCTTTCCCCTTGAAAGAGGAAGTGGCCCTTTATTTGAACAAACTTGACTTCCCTTCACCCAAGGATGTTTTTAGGTAAGTTTGGATGTCACCCCCCTGGATAAGCAGGATGTTATCATCCAAACCAAAATAGTCAACTGTCTACCTAACAAACTTTATGAAATAAAGAATCTACCTGGTCTGATGGGGACCAATTTAAGTTTGTTGTCCTGTGCCTTCATTCCCAGAGGCAGACAGGCATCTGGCAGGGCAGGAGCTAAAAACAGACATTTACATTTAATGCTGCTATTAATCAAGTAGATGAGCACAACTGAATGTACTTTAATTATCACATTATGAACCTGTGTGACTCAAGACATGTAATAAAATAATCTTTGCAAGCTAACATTGCCCTAAATACTAAGTTCTCAAACAGGCTACAGTTATTTCCTACACCTTATTCCCCCAAGTTCTTTTACCTCCAATTTTATACAGCTTCACAGAGCTGAAAGGAATGTCCATAGGATGGGGGAAGAAGCTGTCTTTCCCATTGACCTTTACTCCGTAGAAATATTCCCGGATCCTGACGTCTCGGGCCTCGGATCTTTGATGCTGGTTTCTCTCCACCACCTTTATAAAAGTCAATATATTATAAATCAGTGCAGCTAAGAACTTAGAATCAGACAAGATAAATAAGTACAGTCAAATCTCTTTTTATCTCGAACTCAATGGAATGAAGAAAAACAAACTTTGAAATATCGGAGAGATTAAGATATTGAGGTTAAATACTGTATACAAGGTTATTTTCCCCCCGTGTTATTTTCGCTCTTTCACACTTGCAAACAATTTTACTCCCTTTTAAATTCGCCCAATCATAGTTTTGTTTAAGAAATTATACTGTATTCTCTGAATTCGCCCCGTTTTTAATTCGCCCAAATAAGGGCAGGGCAAAAGAGGCGAAAATAAAACGGGGGCGAAAATTTCCCTGTATACAGTACATAAATGAAAAGTGGTTAAGATTTCCAGCTCACTTCAACATACATGTACATGTATATAGTGTATTTGAGATATTGATGTTAGAGATACAGAAGTTCAATTGTATCAAATGAAATATTGTTCATCAATTTAAGCATAATCCAATCTACATAGTCATATCTTGTAAATCAATGCATGTATTCTATGCTATAAACCATGTATGTTGGTTAAAAATGTGATTTAAATATAATCTTTATCTATTTTATACAATTAATACAGCATTTGAAATCCTGTAAGTTGTCTCTCTTTGAATGTGTGACCTACCCCTCCGGATTTTGGCAGTAGTATGACCTTGACAAAGTCAGGCATGTCACGCTTCAGTTCATTATACAATCTTTCTTGGTCTAGGACAATAATCACATCCACTGAAACAATATGGTCAAGGGTTAATAGAAAAGGTCTGAATGCATCAATTTACTAATTAAAACCTTTAATTTATCAATGGGAAACTTCATTACATGTATTAGTGTCCAGAAGTTTGTTGACTGACTTGCAAAACCATTTCACTTCATCCCTTCTACATACGGCATGAGATATACAGTGTATGTTTAAAGTATATGTAAGCAAAACAATTTGTGAAACTGGAGGAAGTTTTAAGGGAGGATGGGTAAAAATAAGCAAGATTTTAAAAAAAAACGTATTCTTTCATCCACCCCCACCCACCTTGACCTATCTCCCTCCCCAAACTAAATCTTTAATCTCTTCCCATCCCACCACTATTAAAATGGGTGAAAATAAATATTACAATTATCATAGAAGATATGAAACCTTTCTGTACAGATAATTATTAAAAAATCATTCTTCTTGTCTTGAGAAAAGACAAGCTTTGGTAATGGCGGAATTTGGCCCTTTGAGCCTAGATAAATAAATAATGTTTCCTATTCCAATCTGCAAAAAAAATATGGTAGGTAGGTAGGAAAAACTTTAATTGTGCATTTTAATTGCCCAGGCATTCCACAACAATCCAAGTATTCATCGTCAAACTTGAAAAATGCAACAAGATTTGGAAATGTCAAAGTAGTAATTACAGAAGTGATGCAAAAAGGACGCCTAGCGGGTAACTCTCAAGTTCTGAGTGTTATAGAATTAAGAAAAAGCCAGAGGTCTATGAAGAAGTTCAAAGTGGGGTGGTCCTGTCCACAGGCACCTGCAATGAAGATGACAGGTTTTTTTTTATTATAAAGTATTGCACCATTCTGAGAGGACACTCCAAATCACAGCCCATAAGGGTCTGTGGTCCTGTCCACAGGCACCTGCGATGAAGATGACAGGTTTTTTTTTATTATAAAGTATTGCACCATTCTGAGAGACACTCCAAATCAGAGCCCATAAGGGTCTGTGGTCCTGTCCACAGGCACCTGTGATGAAGATGACAGGTTTTTTTTTATTATAAAGTATTGCACCATTCTGAGAGACACTCCAAATCACAGCCCATAAGGGTCTGTAGTCCTGTCCAAAGGCACCTGTGATGAAGATGACAGGGGTTTTTATATTATAAAGTATTGCACCATTCTGAGAGACACTCCAAATCAGAGCCCATAAGGGTCTGTGGTCCTGTCCACAGGCACCTGTGATGAAGATGACAGGTTTTTTTTTATTATAAAGTATTGCACCATTCTGAGAGACACTCCAAATCAGAGCCCATAAGGGTCTGTAGTCCTGTCCAAAGGCACCTGTGATGAAGATGACAGGGGTTTTTTTTATTATAAAGTATTGCACCATTCTGAGAGACACTCCAAATCAGAGTCCATAAGGGTCTGTGGTCCTGTCCACAGGCACCTGTGATGAAGATGACAGGTTTTTTTTTTATTATAAAGTATTGCACCATTCTGAGAGACACTCCAAATCACAGCCCATAAGGGTCTGTGGTCCTGTCCACAGGCACCTGTGATGAAGATGACAGGTTTTTTTTTATTATAAAGTATTGCACCATTCTGAGAGACACTCCAAATCAGAGCCCATAAGGGTCTGTAGTCCTGTCCAAAGGCACCTGTGATGAAGATGACAGGGGTTTTTTTATTATAAAGTATTGCACCATTCTGAGAGACACTCCAAATCACAGCCCATAAGGGTCTGTGGTCCTGTCCACAGGCACCTGCGATGAAGATGACAGGTTTTTTTTTATTATAAAGTATTGCACCATTCTGAGAGACACTCCAAATCACAGCCCATAAGGGTCTGTGGTCCTGTCTACAGGCACCTGTGATGAAGATGACAGGTTTTTTTTTATTATAAAGTATTGCACCATTCTGAGAGACACTCCAAATCACAGCCCATAAGGGTCTGTAGTCCTGTCCAAAGGCACCTGTGATGAAGATGACAGGGGTTTTTTTTATTATAAAGTATTGCACCATTCTGAGAGACACTCCAAATCAGAGCCCATAAGGGTCTGTAGTCCTGTCCACAGGCACCTGTGATGAAGATGACAGGTTTTTTTTTTATTATAAAGTATTGCACCATTCTGAGAGACACTCCAAATCACAGCCCATAAGGGTCTGTGGTCCTGTCCAAAGGCACCTGTGATGAAGATGACAGGGGTTTTTTTTATTATAAAGTATTGCACCATTCTGAGAGACACTCCAAATCACAGCCCATAAGGGTCTGTGGTCCTGTCCACAGGCACCTGCGATGAAGATGACAGGTTTTTTTTATTATAAAGTATTGCACCATTCTGAGAGACACTCCAAATCAGAGCCCATAAGGGTCTGTGGTCCTGTCCACAGGCACCTGCGATGAAGATGACAGGTTTTTTTTTATTATAAAGTATTGCACCATTCTGAGAGACACTCCAAATCAGAGCCCATAAGGGTCTGTGGTCCTGTCCACAGGCACCTGTGATGAAGATGACAGGTTTTTTTTTATTATAAAGTATTGCACCATTCTGAGAGACACTCCAAATCACAGCCCATAAGGGTCTGTAGTCCTGTCCAAAGGCACCTGTGATGAAGATGACAGGGGTTTTTTTTATTATAAAGTATTGCACCATTCTGAGAGACACTCCAAATCAGAGCCCATAAGGGTCTGTGGTCCTGTCCACAGGCACCTGTGATGAAGATGACAGGTTTTTTTTTATTATAAAGTATTGCACCATTCTGAGAGACACTCCAAATCACAGCCCATAAGGGTCTGTAGTCCTGTCCAAAGGCACCTGTGATGAAGATGACAGGGGTTTTTTTTATTATAAAGTATTGCACCATTCTGAGAGACACTCCAAATCAGAGTCCATAAGGGTCTGTGGTCCTGTCCACAGGCACCTGTGATGAAGATGACAGGTTTTTTTTTATTATAAAGTATTGCACCATTCTGAGAGACACTCCAAATCACAGCCCATAAGGGTCTGTGGTCCTGTCCACAGGCACCTGTGATGAAGATGACAGGTTTTTTTTTATTATAAAGTATTGCACCATTCTGAGAGACACTCCAAATCAGAGCCCATAAGGGTCTGTAGTCCTGTCCAAAGGCACCTGTGATGAAGATGACAGGGGGTTTTTTTATTATAAAGTATTGCACCATTCTGAGAGACACTCCAAATCAGAGCCCATAAGGGTCTGTGGTCCTGTCCACAGGCACCTGCGATGAAGATGACAGGTTTTTTTTTTATTATAAAGTATTGCACCATTCTGAGAGACACTCCAAATCACAGCCCATAAGGGTCTGTGGTCCTGTCTACAGGCACCTGTGATGAAGATGACAGGTTTTTTTTTATTATAAAGTATTGCACCATTCTGAGAGACACTCCAAATCACAGCCCATAAGGGTCTGTAGTCCTGTCCAAAGGCACCTGTGATGAAGATGACAGGGGTTTTTTTTATTATAAAGTATTGCACCATTCTGAGAGACACTCCAAATCAGAGCCCATAAGGGTCTGTGGTCCTGTCCACAGGCACCTGTGATGAAGATGACAGGTTTTTTTTATTATAAAGTATTGCACCATTCTGAGAGACACTCCAAATCACAGCCCATAAGGGTCTGTAGTCCTGTCCAAAGGCACCTGCAATGAAGATGACAGGTTTTTTTTTATTATAAAGTATTGCACCATTCTGAGAGACACTCCAAATCAGAGCCCATAAGGGTCTGTGGTCCTGTCCACAGGCACCTGTGATGAAGATGACAGGTTTTTTTTTATTATAAAGTATTGCACCATTCTGAGAGACACTCCAAATCACAGCCCATAAGGGTCTGTAGTCCTGTCCAAAGGCACCTGTGATGAAGATGACAGGGGTTTTTTTTATTATAAAGTATTGCACCATTCTGAGAGACACTCCAAATCAGAGCCCATAAGGGTCTGTGGTCCTGTCCACAGGCACCTGTGATGAAGATGACAGGTTTTTTTTTATTATAAAGTATTGCACCATTCTGAGAGACACTCCAAATCACAGCCCATAAGGGTCTGTAGTCCTGTCCAAAGGCACCTGTGATGAAGATGACAGGGGTTTTTTTTATTATAAAGTATTGCACCATTCTGAGAGACACTCCAAATCAGAGCCCATAAGGGTCTGTGGTCCTGTCCACAGGCACCTGTGATGAAGATGACAGGTTTTTTTTTTATTATAAAGTATTGCACCATTCTGAGAGACACTCCAAATCAGAGCCCATAAGGGTCTGTGGTCCTGTCCACAGGCACCTGTGATGAAGATGACAGGTTTTTTTTTATTATAAAGTATTGCACCATTCTGAGAGACACTCCAAATCAGAGCCCATAAGGGTCTGTAGTCCTGTCCAAAGGCACCTGTGATGAAGATGACAGGGGTTTTTTTATTATAAAGTATTGCACCATTCTGAGAGACACTCCAAATCAGAGCCCATAAGGGTCTGTGGTCCTGTCCACAGGCACCTGCGATGAAGATGACAGGTTTTTTTTTTATTATAAAGTATTGCACCATTCTGAGAGACACTCCAAATCACAGCCCATAAGGGTCTGTGGTCCTGTCTACAGGCACCTGTGATGAAGATGACAGGTTTTTTTTTATTATAAAGTATTGCACCATTCTGAGAGACACTCCAAATCAGAGCCCATAAGGGTCTGTAGTCCTGTCCAAAGGCACCTGTGATGAAGATGACAGGGGGTTTTTTTATTATAAAGTATTGCACCATTCTGAGAGACACTCCAAATCACAGCCCATAAGGGTCTGTAGTCCTGTCCACAGGCACCTGTGATGAAGATGACAGTTTTTTTTTTATTATAAAGTATTGCACCATTCTGAGAGACACTCCAAATCAGAGCCCATAAGGGTCTGTAGTCCTGTCCAAAGGCACCTGTGATGAAGATGACAGGGGGTTTTTTTATTATAAAGTATTGCACCATTCTGAGAGACACTCCAAATCACAGCCCATAAGGGTCTGTGGTCCTGTCCACAGGCACCTGCGATGAAGATGACAGGTTTTTTTTTATTATAAAGTATTGCACCATTCTGAGAGACACTCCAAATCAGAGCCCATAAGGGTCTGTGGTCCTGTCCACAGGCACCTGTGATGAAGATGACAGGTTTTTTTTATTATAAAGTATTGCACCATTCTGAGAGACACTCCAAATCACAGCCCATAAGGGTCTGTAGTCCTGTCCACAGGCACCTGTGATGAAGATGACAGGGGTTTTTTTTATTATAAAGTATTGCACCATTCTGAGAGACACTCCAAATCAGAGCCCATAAGGGTCTGTGGTCCTGTCCACAGGCACCTGTGATGAAGATGACAGGTTTTTTTTATTATAAAGTATTGCACCATTCTGAGAGACACTCCAAATCACAGCCCATAAGGGTCTGTAGTCCTGTCCAAAGGCACCTGTGATGAAGATGACAGGGGTTTTTTTTTATTATAAAGTATTGCACCATTCTGAGAGACACTCCAAATCAGAGCCCATAAGGGTCTGTAGTCCTGTCCAAAGGCACCTGCAATGAAGATGACAGGTTTTTTTTTATTATAAAGTATTGCACCATTCTGAGAGACACTCCAAATCAGAGCCCATAAGGGTCTGTAGTCCTGTCCACAGGCACCTGCAATGAAGATGACAGGTTTTTTTTTTTATTATAAAGTATTGCACCATTCTGAGAGACACTCCAAATCAGAGCCCATAAGGGTCTATCCTGTCCTTTGCTTATCAGTTATCATTGCTTTAAAATCTACCATCTCCTCTCAGGTCAGGGTCAGTCTCATTTTCATTACATTTTAACATAAAGGTCTTGTATCTCTATTCATGTTAATCATCAGGACTATTTAATACAAAATATAAAATACAAACCTTCAAAAGAACCTGCTGCATGCTTTAGAGAATCATATCCACCACCTTTGATCCACCCCCCTGTGTTAATGATCACTCCACTAATACTGACTGGAAAGAGAACAGAATGTCAGCTTAAATTGGTCTGGATAATCTCCCAACAGAAATCAAGAACAACAATTGATACACATCTAAATACACACAGTTAACAAAGTTTAGTCCTTTGAGAAGTCAGTTAACTTCACTGCAAACATCCAATGTCTCTTTATCATTAACATTGAATAAAAGTAGTTTTTCATTGTTGTTGGAAGATGTTTTTGAAGCACATGAATAGCCTGATAACCTGATAATGCACACAGAAAACATCTCTCCTTCTCAGTTTTTTTCTCTCCAAATTTCTTATTTTTTCATGAATTATGCAAAATTTTGATGAATTATGCAAAGTTTCTGTCCTTTGCTTTTAAAATAAATATAATTTCTTTGCTCTTGTTACCGATCTTCCTATGATCACAAATTTCATAAAAATTCATGACATTGAATTGAAAGAAAGCTTCTTTTAGAGTATCTCAGCCCAGGAGTGCATTCAAGATTGTAAAGGCTACATAAGTCTACGTAGAGCTTTGATCTTCAAGAATACCATAGCCTAATTGCTACATAGAAATTAACAATGATTAATTCAAACAGTGCATTCAATTAACCTAGATAACCTACCCAAGCAGCTAGACTAGCTGCTACAATCTTGTACACAGCCCTGGAGCCTCCAAAAGATGGGCTGCCAATCACCCAAACAAATAAACAGATTCAATAAAATCCCTGACCTTTGCGCTGTTTGTCACACTTCATATTGGTGACCTCTGCCATCCTTGATACCAGGAGTTTGTAAAGCTGGGGATTTGTGGAGGGGGATGTATGACCATAGTGGAAAACCAAGGGGGCATTTAGGTGGAACCCTTCCTCCACATCAGCAGGTCGTTCAACCACGACTGCACCCACTGTTCCAGGTATGGACACCTGACCCTGGAAAAGAATGAGAATGTGAAGAAAATGCTTTTTTTTTTGCACTGTTAGTAAACCTATCCTTTTTTTTTTATTTGGAGGCTGCAGTGTTCCATTGAATATGAATAAAGACAAGAGGCCCAAGGGCCTTAACGGTCACCTGAGTACAATACAACAATTTAGAGTATCCATAAACTGAAAAATGAAGCTTTGTTGCCCAAAAGCAAGAAAAATAGTATGATTAGCATCAACAAAATAATTGGTCTAGTATCTATCTGCCCCCCCCCCCCCACCATTTATCACTATTCCCATGCAGAATATTAACAAAATGTCTATCATTTAACCCCATATTATTACTTCTCACAATGGCCTCTCTTGGCCTTTGAAGAACATTTAAAAAGATATGTTGTTTTTGTCTCATTTTTATTTTTCCATTATTTCCAAGTCATTAAAACTATGAAAGTACTTTTTTATTAAACAATAACTTATCTTGCATAATTCTCTTATTCTATTAAGCTTTCAAATACATTATTTACACTGATTAATTATCAAAGGTGAATGGCAAAGAGGAATAACTTTGCTCAGCAGAATACAACTTAATAGAGCCCTGGCCAGGACTAGAACACTTTGACTAAATGGTCCAGGTGTTCAAAATTCTGGTAAAAATACCCTTGCATATTAAAACTTTTACTCTGTTTGCCTTGACCATCCCCAGAAGCATAGAAGATTTTCAAAGAAATGCATTTTCACCATATTATTAAATAAATAAAGCCCCATCCTTACCCCAGAACATCTGACCCACTGGCCACGAACTCACAATTCTGGAAGAAGCACCCTTTCTCATTATAACTATACGCTTGTTTCTTTACTTTATAACCAGTAGTAGAAAAAATATTTTGAAAGAAATTATGCATTTTCACTATATAATCAATAAAGCTTTCCCCCCCCCCCACACCAGAACCCCTGACCAAAGGGCCATGAGGCATTCTTCCTTATCATAACCATGCACTTCTATTGTTTGAAAAATACCCAGGCACACAGAAGTAGATTTTGAAAGAAATCATGCCTTTTCCCTTTTTTATAATCAATAGAGCCCCACCCTAACACCAGAACCCCTGACCCAGGGGCCATGAAATTCATAATTTCTGAGGCAGCCATGCTCATCATAACAATGTACTTAGTTTATTTAATATCCAGTAGCAGAGAAGAAGATTTTCAAAGAATTAATGCAATTGTACTATATAATCAATGGAGCCCATCCCTAACACCAGAACCCCTGACCCAAGGGCCATGAAATTCACAATTTCTGAAAAGGCAGTCATGCTCACCATAACTATGTCCTTAGTTAGTTTATTTAATACCCAGGAGCAAAGAAAAAGATTTTCAAAGAATTAATGCAATTCTACTATATAATCAATAGGGCCCTGCCCTAACACCAGAACCTCTGACCCAGGGGCCATGAAATTCACAATTTTGGAAGAGGCACTCTTGCTCATCAGAACTATGTACTAAGTTACTTTATTTAATACCCAGGAGCAGAGAAGATTTTCAAAGAATTAATGCATTTTAACTATATAATCAATAGAGCCCCGCCCTAACACCAGAACCCCTGACCCTGGGACCATGAAATTCACAATTTTGAAAGAGGCACTCTTGTTCTTCATAACTATGTACTTAATAACCAGGAGCAGAGAAAAAGATTTTTAAAGAATTAATGCAATTCTAATATATAATCAATAGAGCCCCGCCCTAACACCAGAACCCTGACCCTGGGGCCATGAAATTCACAATTTTGGAAGAGGCACTCTTGCTCATCAGAACTATGTACTAAGTTAGTTTATTTAATACCCAGGAGCAGAGAAGAAGATTTTCAAAGAATTAATGCATTTTCACTATATAATCAATAGAGCCCCGTCCTAACACAAGAACCCCTGACCCTGGGGCCATGAAATTCATAATTTTGGAAGAGGCACTCTTGCTCATCATAACTATGTACTTAGTTAGTTCATTTAATATCCAGGAGCAGAGAAGAAGATTTTCAAAGAATTAATGCATTTTAACTATATAATCAATAGAGCCCCGTCCTAACACAAGAACCCCTGACCCTGGGGCCATGAAATTCATAATTTTGGAAGAGGCACTCTTGTTCTTCATAACTATGTACTTAATAACCAGGAGCAGAGAAAAAGATTTTTAAAGAATTAATGCAATTCTACTATATAATCAATAGAGCCCCGCCCTAACACCAGAACCCTGACCCTGGGGCCATGAAATTCACAATTTTGGAAGAGGCACTCTTGCTCATCAGAACTATGTACTAAGTTAGTTTATTTAATACCCAGGAGCAGAGAAGAAGATTTTCAAAGAATTAATGCATTTTCACTATATAATCAATAGAGCCCCGTCCTAACACAAGAACCCCTGACCCTGGGGCCATGAAATTCATAATTTTGGAAGAGGCACTCTTGCTCATCATAACTATGTACTTAGTTAGTTCATTTAATATCCAGGAGCAGAGAAGAAGATTTTCAAAGAACTAATGCATTTTCACTATATAATCAATAGAGCCCTGCCCTAACACCAGAACCCCTGACCCTGGGGCCATGAAATTCACAATTTTGGAAGAGGCACTCTTGCTCATCATAACTATATACTAAGTTAGTTTATTTAATACCCAGGAACAGAGAAGAAGATTTTCAAAGAATTAATGCAATTCTACTATATAATCAATAGAGCCCTGCCCTAACACCAGAACCCCTGACCCAGGGGCCATGAAATTCACAATTTTGGAAGAGGCACTCTTGCTCATCATAACTATGTACTAAGTTGCTTTATTTAATACCCAGGAAAAGAGAAAAAGATTTTCAAAGAATTAATGCATCTTCCCTATATAATCAATAGAGCCCCGCCCTAACACCAGAACCCCTGACCCTGGGGCCATGAAATTCACAATTTTGGAAGAGGCACTCTTGCTCATCATAACTATATACTAAGTTAGTTTATTTAATACCCAGGAACAGAGAAGAAGATTTTCAAAGAATTAATGCAATTCTACTATATAATCAATAGAGCCCTGCCCTAACACCAGAACCCCTGACCCAGGGGCCATGAAATTCACAATTTTGAAAGAGGCACTCTTGTTCTTCATAACTATGTACTTAATAACCAGGAGCAGAGAAAAAGATTTTTAAAGAATTAATGCAATTCTACTATATAATCAATAGAGCCCCGCCCTAACACCAGAACCCTGACCCTGGGGCCATGAAATTCACAATTTTAGAAGAGGCACTCTTGCTCATCAGAACTATGTACTAAGTTAGTTTATTTAATACCCAGGAGCAGAGAAGAAGATTTTCAAAGAATTAATGCATTTTCACTATATAATCAATAGAGCCCCGTCCTAACACCAGAACCCCTGACCCTGGGGCCATGAAATTCATAATTTTGGAAGAGGCACTCTTGCTCATCATAACTATGTACTTAGTTAGTTCATTTAATATCCAGGAGCAGAGAAGAAGATTTTCAAAGAACTAATGCATTTTCACTATGTAATCAATAGAGCCCTGCCCTAACACCAGAACCCCTGACCCTGGGGCCATGAAATTCACAATTTTGGAAGAGGCACTCTTGCTCATCATAACTATATACTAAGTTAGTTTATTTAATACCCAGGAACAGAGAAGAAGATTTTCAAAGAATTAATGCAATTCTACTATATAATCAATAGAGCCCTGCCCTAACACCAGAACCCCTGACCCAGGGGCCATGAAATTCACAATTTTGGAAGAGGCACTCTTGCTCATCATAACTATGTACTAAGTTGCTTTATTTAATACCCAGGAGAAGAGAAAAAGATTTTCAAAGAATTAATGCATCTTCCCTATATAATCAATAGAGCCCCACCCTAACACCAGAACCCCTGACCCTGGGGCCATGAAATTCACAATTTTGGAAGAGGCACTCTTGCTCATCATAACTATATACTAAGTTAGTTTATTTAATACCCAGGAACAGAGAAGAAGATTTTCAAAGAATTAATGCAATTCTACTATATAATCAATAGAGCCCCGCCCTAACACCAGAACCTCTGACCCAGGGGCCATGAAATTCACAATTTTGGAAGAGGCACTCTTGCTCATCATAACTATGTACTTAGTTAGTTTATTTAATAACCAGGAGCAGAGAAGAAGATTTTCAAAGAAATAATGCTCTTTCACTATATGATCTATATAGCCCCACCCCAGCACCAGAACCCCTGACCCTGGGGCCATGAATTTCACAATTTTGGTAGAGGACTCAATGCATATTACAATGATGCCAACAGTTTAACTGCCTGATGTCCAGGAGTAAAGAAGAAGATTTTTAAAGATTGCATTATTTTTGGTGGTTTTAGCCCCACCCCTCAGGCCCCAGGGGGGCAGGGACCATGAAATTCACAATTTCTGTTCCCCTTCACCCATAGATGCTATATGCCAAATTTGGTTGACATTGGTTAAGCAGTTTCAGAGAAGAAGCTAAAAATGTTCAAATGTTAACACACGACGCACGACGCACACCGCACGACGCACGCCGACGGACGAGAACGGATAGCAATAGGTCACCTGAGTGACTCAGGTGACCTAAAAATGTGTTGCAACTTTTCAAAATTCAATGGAGCCAATATGCATTAGAGAACTTGGACCCAAAATCATCATGAATTCTTATTCGGTCTTATACTTGGGAAATAATTTCTTAACTTGATATAATTGAGGTGTGCATTTATTTACTATGATCTGTATTTTTATACAACCAGTGGAACAACTAGACAAATACTGTACAATATGTAACTAATACTATTTCAACAATACTACCTCTTACATTCTAAACAATAATCTTATAATATACATGTTAATTTCCCCACCTGTCCAACATCCAGGTCAACAAATATCGGTGCTCTTCCAAGGCGGGCTGAGTAGTTCAGCAAGAGGCGAGACAGCGTACTCTTTCCTACATCAGTGGGCCCAACTATCATCACCTAGATGGACAGAAATCACAATTACTTGAACTCAAAATTCCCACTAGAAGAAAATATTTCCCACTGCTCACTAACTACTTCAAGCTTATGGTAATTATACAATATCACTATGCACAAATTAATTTTACTTAATTTGAGTGACCATTTCATGAGGATAAAGTATAGATAAGGAAAAAAAGATTTTTTTTTTCTTTTCAATAAAAGTTGGTGTGCAGCATTATTTATTATTTCTGAATGAATCTGGCTAAGTTCTATTCTCTGCTTTTCTTTATTTTTTTAGTTTTAGATATAATCATGACAATCGATACTAAGTTACTACCCTTGGTCCTCGGGTATTATCACTTTCAGCCTTTTCTCTCATTTGTTCTAGTGCAGCATGGGTATTTATGTACATCACCATGGGAGTTTCCTTGGCAACATATGCTACCTCTGTTCTGCCTTGCAGGTAAAATTTTGTCAAGGTCTAATGACTCAATTTACCATTTCATGAAATTTTCAAGGGTAATTTAATTTAGACCCAATACTGTACAGGACCTTTGAAAATACTAGAATTTAGGTGAAAATACTGTACATTTCTCATCTGATAAAATTGTACAAAAACTGTACTAAATATTGCCCCAAAAAAATCAATACATGTATAATTGAAAACCCATTATAAAAACAATTCAACTTATGAGAAGTTTTGATACATCTTGATTACAATGTGATTATTGAGGGAAATGTTTGACACCTTCAATCACCATGTTTTCTTTGCATTAACAAAGTACAATAAATTATGCATCAAGAGATTTCCAGTGTTATTAAAGCGAAAATGTAAGAAAAATGGCAGTTGCAGGTAAAACAATTTAAAACACAAGAAATATTTTGATTTCCAATGAATTTTGGTGTCCCACCATGATCCTGTAAATAGGGTAAAAAATATGTAACATTTTGTGTATAGCGGGTACTTATCACATGTATGGCTATGAAATGTGGTACCAAAAAATGTAATGTGTTATCTTTAAATGTGGTGCCAAGAATGTATTGCAATGTGGTGCAAATAAGGACTTATACTGAAATGAAAAGATGGATAACTGCATTTAAATATAATGAGGAGAAGGATATCTTGATAAGACAGCCATGCCAGGTGAAGACCGCTACTTTTGCTCCCTGGTCGAAGTTGTAAATCTTTCCTTTGGTCAGTTCTGATCCAAATACCTCTGCCATTCCCTCCAGCAGCTGTACACAGAATTCATATTTATTCATAATTTAATTCATTCATGCAGATTTAGAATATGGACTTGGATATGTTAAAAGGGATTAATCATTTAAAAATTGCTTAAATAAATTAAAACAACACTAGTCTTACAAAGTTGTATCTTTTTGAAAAATACATGTCAGACTCTGTTCTAAGACCTTTAATGAAAAACAAATTGAATTTTTTAATTTTCTGTCTTCCCTTCTGATGATCAATTTATGGTAATTACCTCCATTTGTACTGAGGCATTAGCCTCCACCTCAAACCGAAGCTCTTCGTCAGCATTCAATCTGTACTCTTCAACACTCTAAAAAAGGGAGAGAATTCATCAGCATTCAATCTGTACTCTTCTATATTCCAAAATATACAAAAAGGGAGAAATTTCCAATGCATATATAATCATCAATCTGTACCATTCTAAATGCTATAAAAGTACACAAATATGCTGATAAATTATAACGTGAACTACTATATATGTGATGAAATGAATCGAAAAGTTAAACTAGAGTCTGCAACTACACATAGTTCAAGAAAATTTTGCCATAAGGCATAAAAATAAGTTCAAAATCCCCATCTTTCTTTTAGCATATATAGCAATATGGTGAGTATACTGTCAGGGTTTTTTAAGGTCTTGATATCAAAGGCCTGGGCCTTTCTAATTGGGAAAAATAACGTCATTTACTTGAAATTGGGGAAAATGTTTTATACAAAGAAGTAGGGGGAAAACTAAACCAGTGCATAAAGCAGGTACATTCAAAGCTTTCAATTTGAAAAAAATAGGTTTACTTAACAATATTAAGGCAAAAATTGTAGACTGGAGGCATGTGAAGGAGATTTATGAACTATAAGGACACTTTGATGTTTTTTTCATTGTTTGGGAATTTAAAAGTATTTCTCTGATGAGACTGTAGCTCTACTGGTCTGTACATATAACAAAGTAGCACTTGGATTTGAAACTTTGCAACAATAAATAGAATTATGTATCTTAATGTAGTCTACTTCTGTGCCAAGTTATATTGAAATCAAACGAAAACTATAGGAGGAGTAGTGTTTTGAAAGTATTTCACAGAAATTTCTATTTTAAGTAACCATGACAACACCATTCACTGAAATCAAAAACCGAAATACATATTATGTATCGTAGTGTATTCTAATTGTGTGCCAAATTAGATTGAAATCAGACCAAAACTGTAGGAGGAGTAACGTTTTAAGGTCAAGATCTAGTAAATAAAAGGTGCCTACAGATTTCTCAAATTTGAGAAATAAATTCCTTTAATGATGCTTTATAACTTTAGCTTGGTCAAATAAGGTGTTTTGGGGTATAATTTGTAGGCAAACAAGACGAAAAATCATATTTTAAACTGTCATTTTCAATGAAAAATTAAGAAAACCAGTCATGAATACGGGAGTTTTTTCCCCCATATCAGACAAAGGAAATGTATCCAGATTGCCTACAGTCTCTCAGAAAATGGTTATTTGTATGTTCTTGGCCTCTTCTTTAAAATAATATTAAATTGAATATAGGTATCAGGATTACTTTTCACAATGTTTCAAATTGAATTCCATGAAAATACTTTATTTTCTACCTAATTCTTTTAGAGCCGTAAAGTACGGGAAAAAGAAATTAAAATTGATTATGACGTCATAATGGATCAAGCACCAAAAAGACAGTCTAAAGTCATTTACTAGATCTTGACCTTACAGGAATTTCACAGAAATTTCTATTTTTAGTAACCATGGCAACACTGTTCATCGAAATATAAAACCAATGCATAAAATTATGTATCTTATTATTAATAGTCTTCTTGTATGCCGAATTATATTAAAAGCAAACTAAAACTGTAGGAGGAGTAGCATTTTAAAGTAATTTCACATAGATTTCTATTTTTAGTAACCATGGCAACATCGTTCATCAAAATCAAAAACTGATGCACTAAATAATGTATCTTAGTGTAGTCTACTTGTATGCCAAGTTATATTCAAATCAGACCAAAACTGTAGGAGGAGAAGTGATTTTAAGGAATTTCACAGAAATTTCTATTTATAGTAACCATGGCAACACTGTTCATTGAAATCAAAACTTGATGCACTAAATTATATATCTAAGTGAAGTCCACTTGTGTGCCAAGTTATATTAAAATCAGACCAAAACTGTAGGAAGAGTAGTGTTTTAAAGGAATTCCACATAAATTTCTATTTTTAGTAACCATGGCAACACCGTTCATTGAAATCAAAAACTGATGCGCTAAATTATGTATGAGAGTGTAGTCTACTTGTTTGCCAAGTTATAATGAAATCAGACCAAAACTATAAGAGGAGTAGCAATTTAAAGGAATTTCACAGAAATTTCTATTTTTAGTAACTATGGCAACACCGTAAATCGAAATCAAAAACCGGTCCACTAAATTATGTATCTTAGTGTAGTCTACTTGTGTGCCACGTTATATTGAAATCAGACCAAAACTGTAAGAGGAGTAGCGTTTTGAAAAATTGTTTACAGACAGACGGATGGACGGACGACAGACACCTTACTATCGCATAAGCTCTTCTGGTCTCTGACCAGTAGAGCTAAAAATTGGGGAAAATACCTGCTTTTTAGTATTGGGAAAGAGGCCTTATTTCAACCCCCTACAGACCCTTAAAAAACCCTAGACAGTAAACAATATTTCACTTAATTTGGGAAAAATTTAATGAAGACATTTAATTAATGTTTCTGCTATAAAGATAAAATGAATTTTTTTTCAAATGAATCATGTTGGTAAATGTGAATGATGCTTTTCTTTCTTTTTTTAAAGACTTTTTCCTTTATTAAATAATTTTTCTCCTTTTTTCATTTTTTTTTTTTTTTTTTTTGTACAATTCTGAAGTTGACAGCAAGTTTCTTTAAAGACATTAGACAGGACCATTTTATGCATAAAGTGACCCCCCCCCCTTTTTTTTTTCTTGGAATGACTGAAAATTAACTGTTTCATAGACTCTCAAGACTTGTGGCAGGCCATTCATCTTTGAAAAGAAGATTAGATTTAAAATAGATTTGTGGTTCAGAAGTTATTGGAAAGGAAGTGGGATATTACAAGTTCAAGGACAATTGCCATCTGGTGCATAATTATTTGTTACAGTCACTCTATTTTTTCTTTTTAATCTTAATATTAAACAAGTTGGGACCAATCACTCAAATGGGATATAATAAATATCCCAATTTACAGTGCAAAAATGAAGAACGAAAAAATTTTGGCTATAAATATTGTAAATCTGTATGAATATAAATTGAATGCAGTAACTTTTGGCAAGCAAATTTTCTATAATCCTCCAGTTTAAGAGATTGATTCCTAAGAAGTTTAGGATCTCACTCCTTAGCAGTGAGGATACAGAAAAACTTATTAACCAAAGTTTTTGCTTTTAATTTATTTTTAGTGCAGTGGTAGAGTGTCTGCTCTAGAGTCACAGAGTAAGAAGATGATCCTTATGTCGCGGGTTTGAATCCACTGTGGGACGTGGAGACCGATCCTTCGGATGAGACCGTATAAACCGAGGTCCCATGTTGCAGTAGGTGCTGGCATGAAAAAGATCTCACTGCTCAATGGCCCTGAGTGCCGAGCATAGGTCAAAATTTGCAGCTCTCCACCAGACATTTTGGTGTTCCTAGAGTATTGAAATTTCATATAGTTCCTACTGAGTATTCTAATCTATTGTGCAGTGACAAGGTTTCCTGCGTGTTATAGGGTAATATTTACATTTGCAAATGTTTTCTTTTATATAACACTACTTAAGCAAAGCGTATCTATTTCTGTATAAACACAGGTTCCTCACGTCATAAATGTTCAATGTAATTACTCAGTCAGGGTTGTGGTTAACTTTTGAAACCTTAGGGGCCATGTGGGCTCCCAACTTTTCAAATTTTACAGGCCCACAATGTGATCCACGGGCCCACATTATATGTAAATTAAAAATAACAACAACATAAATCCTTAATTTTTTTAATTTTTTTTTATTCGTAGTATTGATACGTTCACAGTATATGAATTTTTGTCATTTTCTCTTTTCTAAAAACTTTGATCCGATAATATATTCACTATATTTTGTAGTGTTTATCTTATACAACTGAAGCATCAAGGGGGCATATTAAATAAATTACATACAACCTGTAATGAAGTCGATTCCGATCTTTCATTGTATGCATTTGACACAGTAATTCAAATTCTATCTATGAATAACTAGTCTGGATAGAGTGTGCGACAACCATAGCCAATTGTTACAATATTTCTGTTAGAACAATCTCAAACTTTTACTCTTGTATATTTACATTTGCTGTGTTTTTCTACTAAGCCAACTGTGCAACTGATTTGAAAGTCTTTTTTGTGTATACTCACGTGTAGAAATATACACGGTGAATCTCGCGCTAAAGTAATGTCACAATGAGGCTTATATATATACAGACACGTAAATAAAAATGTAACGATATAGGGAAGCCAAAATTTCAAATATTGAGTATATTATTGGTGCTTTTAAACTTGTAAAATGTAAATATAAGGAATGTTTTTAAGTTTAGTGTGAATTATTGGTGTGTAAATCACACAGACTTGCACATAGACATATTTTTCATGAAGCGCTAGCACGCTTCATGAAATATGCCTATGTGACAAGTCTGTGTGATTTACACACCAATAACTCACACAAAACTTTTAAAACATTTCTTAAATCAACAGAGATTTAACTGCTTCCATAAATCACCATGTTTGATCTCAGTCAGGTATATGTTTGAATAATATGCTTGTAAGCAACACAAAAAATATAGGTTAATAGAGTGTTTTCTGAAAAACTGAAGTACATAAAATATAAAACTGAAATGTGATTATGTTCCGGCAAAAAATTGTTCGCCATGTGGGCAACCAGATTTTTAATATCTAATCGCCCACAGCAAATTTTACTCGCATTTGTGAGTGGGCGAGTGCTTATCCACAACCCTGTCAGTGATGTCATAAAGGGTTGATGTGCTTTCAATGGATCATTGACCTAAAGCTTTAGGTCTATGAATGGCCATTGAGTTTTGAAAAATAAAACATTTCATGCACTAAAGATTATCCTAAAAAAATATACATTATAAAGAAGTCACAAATGTAAATATAAGTAATAAGGTATCATTTTTAAACATCTATCAGATATAAACCCGAAAGGCTTTATGGTAAATTTGATCATGTACCAACCCATATTTATATCCCGATAATTGTTTGAGAATGATACCTTATTTCTTAATTGAACGTTGTAGATTTCCAATGGATTTCGTAAAGAAAATTACACTGAATTTAAATATACATGTATCCCATATGGGCGATTGGTCCAAACCTATTAAACCGGTCCCAATCGATGAACCAGATCTATTTTATATACACATATCTGTACTTAGGAATGCCAATATACAGAGGGTTTATTTACTTACACTTGGTGTCAGAAGATAACAAAATTGTCATTTGTGTCACCTTATTGAAAGGTGTATGATTTATCAGTCAGAGGAAATTCAAAATATGATGAAAATATAGATTTCAACTTGCCAAGAGAAAATATTACCTTTTCTTCACTCATAACTGTTCGTATTGATTAAATTTAAAAAGTTAGACTTTTTTCTTCATTTGGATTGCTATAAAAAGATTTCCTCGCGCATTGACGGTTTTTTTTTTTTTTGGTGTTCACTTTCTCAGTTCAGTTGTGGTACGCTCGAAACAAAACTTCCGGTTTAGATGAGATGAGTCTATTTACCGGCAAGCGGTAAATCTAGTCTTCCCGACTCCCGACGGTCCCGGATTTTGGTTTTTTGGCGATTTCTTTTTTACCGATGCACAGAAATTCTTCAAACTTTTCAGGCACATTTTCTAAGTTTAAATGAATTCATTAATACATAAAAACCTTAACAAATTTACGTATTTAATACTGAGTCAGCAGTATCACCTGCCAAAAAGCGGTAAATCTAGTACTTTGTTATAAATGCGAAAGCCAAAGACGGACATCGATACATAACGGAGACGTGAGGTTTCGTTGATGTTAAAGATATTAAAGATAATCAAAAAAATATTGATATTAATTGGTAAGATATTTTTTCTCACAAAGATGGATTTAGTATTTCAGTGAATGCGGGAATTTTAATAATTGCATTGTGTTATCAATTTAAAAAAAAAAAATTCTATAATAATCCATAACATCAAAGTGATTTTAAAGTCAGGTTCATATTTAATCATAGAAAATTTATTTGATACAATTATCACTTCAGTAACTTCAGTAACTAAAGCTATATTTTAGCAGTGTCAGCTTGGGTAAAATAATTAAATTTCTAATCATCTGATACAGTTCAAAGTGAAGAGATATACAGTCCAAGCTATAGTAACTTAGTTGTGCTAGGGAATACTGCTAGATAATTAATAAATCATATGCATTTTTTTTAATCTATTGCATTTTGTTAAGGTAAACATATACATGTAATTAAAAAAGCAAACGATATTTTGATTAGATTGAAAATTATAGAATATTACATAAAAAACTGAAAAATGTTCTAGATAGCAAATTTCTTCCGATACAAAGCTTTTGAATTTAGAAAGAAACGATTGTATAATTAACTTTAATTAAAATAAAAGAAAGGAAAACTTAAAATAGATAAATAAAAAGTTAATTCATATTTCAAAGAAAAAGAAGAGAAAAATAATTTAAATAAAAAAAGGTGGGGGGCTCTGAGGTAGAACCACGTCCACGTCGTATAGAGCCTGGGAACACAAACATGTTGTGGCAAAGAGTTAAACAAGAAAAAAAGGAAAAAATGGGGTTTTGTGCATGCAAAAATCAACTGGCATGTAAATGAGGTTTTCCTTATATTTCTTTAAAAATATATACTTCAATTTGTTGTATTTAATCGCGATTCTACGAAAACATCGATGTCCGTCTTTGGTTTTCGCATTTATAACAGAGTACTAGATTTACCGCTTTTTGGCAGGTGATACTGCTAATTCAGTATTAAATACGTAAATTTGTAAAGGATTTTATGTATTAATGAATTCATTTAAACTTAGAAAAGGTGCCTGAAAAGTTTGAAGAATTTCTGTGCATCGATAAAAAAGAAATCGCCAAAAAACCAAAATCCGGGACCGTCGGGAATCGGGAGTCGGGAAGACTAGATTTACCGCTTGCCCTTTTTACCCGAATTCTCGTTCATGTTCATTTCTTGATGGCTTATTATACAATCGGGCTCGCTCTGGTCCCAAAGTTTACTCAACCTCTATCAAACCGAATTTGGTTCTAGCCTCAAAAGTTGACCTGGCTTCAAATGTGGCTTCTGTTTAAAAAAAACTCTTGCCCAGTTTAGGCCTCAACAAAGAGTATTTTGATTGTACATAAACTGATAAATGCCATTGCCCTTTGCATAAATAGAGATCTATTACATACTTTGCAATGCAATGCACCCACAAGAATAACCCCCCCCCCCCCAAGTTTCGTTTTGAATTTTAAAATTGTTTAAATATTATTATTATTGATGCATCGAATTGAATGAAAACATGAAAATTTGAGAGCATCATAACGAAATGCTTGCAATTTCACTTCTTAGCATTTTCAAGCGTTAATAATTATTTTAAATCCAGAAAGACACAATCCAAAAGCAAGTAAAAATCTTGATGTGCCAAGACTCAAGTGCGGCTAAAGCGAGATCCATTGAGATTCGTCATGTTTAATTTATTCCAAAAATGTTATTTTAATTTGTGCACATATATACTCCACGATATACACCTGTACAACTTCAATTTGTCTGATACAAGGCAAAAAATCGAGAATGATTCAGGAGAGAGAGAGAGAGAGAGAGAGAGAGAGAGAGAGAGAGAGAGAGAGTAACATTTTTGACTAGGTGAATCGTAAAATGTCTTTTTTAAAAAACATTTAAGCTTAATTTTTAATTTTATTTTTAATTTTTACAGTCCTTGAGCAATGTTTGTTTTCAATTACAAGATCATTTCGTAACTGAGCTCTTGCCTTAATAGCAGCTTCATTGCAATGAACGCTGTAATTACGTCGTTCAAAGGGAGATCATTTGTGTACATCCAGAGTTCCTTATGCAAATTTTACAAAATTACATCTAAGCATTTGAGAGATTAGTATATATTGGATATTTCTAGAAAGTGTTGGTGGGATAATTTCTGTTTTCGCATCGGGCAATAAAAAGACATGCACATACCTGTATCTGCCTATGCATGCATAGTGCTGTAAAGGCAACCTGTCTACCAATTGCGCTTCCTCAAATTAACTATATTCATTTTATGTTACACATACTTGTATTGATAACTAGTTAAAGATATTTTTTCAGTTAAACCTCGGATATTTTAATCTTTAGATATTTTGATTTTTCAAACTAATGCGTTACATATATAAATCAGAATTGTGGGATTTCTCGAAAAAAAAAAAGTTTGAAGAAAACTTATTCTCCACAGTGTTTGACAAAGTCTTTTTTTTTTTTTTTTTTTTTTTTTTTTTTTTTTTTTTTGTAGGAATTAACATATAGTGTAGTAATATTTATTGCAAAGGTGCGAGAGAAAAATTGCAGATGCTCAGTGCAGTCAAAATCTATACACAAAGAAAAAGTTCCCGATTTCCTTCTGTTGCAAAGAATTGAATACCTGGTCATTGTTGCGGTGTTTCAAAAGTAACTGTTCTCTTGGCTGAACTCTAGTCACCACTTGATCAGTGACCGTTCACAGCTATCAAATGAAAGCGTGCGAGCTCTTACCGATTCCTTATGTCATGCAGATAAATCATTTTTCAGTGGTACCTGTCATTGTATTTTTGCATAAATATTACATACATTGCAATGCACTTACAAGATCGAAAAGAACCCCTCACCCAGGTACCTTTTGAATTAATTCTTAAATTTGTTTGTTATGTATCGAATCGTGCGCAATTTATATTAAAAAAAAAAAATGAGAGTATCTTAACGAAATGCTTGCAATTTCACTTCAAAGCATTTCAAGCATTAGTAATTATTTTTAAAGTCCAGAAATTAGACACAAACCAAAAAAGCAAATAAAAATTATGAGATGCCAAGACCCAAGTGCGGCTAAAGCGAAATCACTTGAGATTTGTCATGTTCTTTCCAAAACGTTATTTTAATTTGTGCACATGTATACTGCTTCAATTTGTCTGAAACAAGGCAAAATTTCGAGAATGATTCAGAGAGAGAGAGAGAATTGAGTACGATAGACACAAACCAAAATAAAAATTATGGGATGCCAAGACTCAAGTGTGGCTAAAGCGAAATCACTTGAGATTTGTCATGTTCATTCCAAAACATAATTTCAATTTGTGCACATATATACTACTTCAATTTGTCTGAAACGAGGCAAAACTTCGAGAATGATTCAGAGAGAGAGAGAGAGAGAACTTAATACATCTCAATGCTTCGCAATAGATATAATCTTCCATATTATTTTGACAAGTTTGAAGATCTTATTTATTATTGAAAGTAACATTTCTGATTAAATGTATCGTAAAATGTCTTTTTAAAAATCATTTCGTCTACCTTTAATAACAAGTACTTCTAAAATTTGAGATTCTCTAACAGTAAACCTCTAACAGAATTGATCATTTTTTTTCATGAAGAATAAAGTACCTTATCTCTACCTGTTATGAAGGGTTTTATATAAGGTAATTTTTGCAGTTCCTGAACAGTATTTGTTTTCAATTTGCAAGATCGTTTTGTCACTGAGCTCTTGCATTAATATAAGATTCATTCCAATGAACGTTGTAATTACGTCGTTCAAAGGGAGATTATTTGAGTTCATCCTTAGATATTTTATGCAAATTTTACAAAATTACATATAAGCATTTGAGAGATAAGTATGAATTGGAGATTTCTAGAGGGTGGTAGAAAAAGGCGTATTAACATATCTGTGTCTGTACATGCATGCATTTTGCTGCAAATGCAACCTGTCTACCAATTGCGCTTCCCCAAATTAACCATACTCATTTTACGTTGCACATATTGATAACTAAAAATATATTTTTTTTAAATTTAATCTCGGATATTTTAATCTAAAGATATTTTGATTTTTTCAAACTAATGCATTACAGGTATGAATCAGAAGTGTGCGTGAGTTGTCTAGAATCAAAAAAGTTTGAAGAAAACTGTTTGACAAAGCATTTTTTGTAGGAATTAACAAATAGTGTAGTGATAATTATTGCAAAGGTGTGAGAGAAAAATTGCACATGTTCACTGCGGTTAGAAACTGTACACACACAAAAAAGTTCCCAAATTCTTTCTCTTGTAAAGAATTAAATACCAGGTCATTGTTGCGGTCTTTCAAAAGTAACTGTTCATTGGCTCTAGGCATCACGTGATCAGTAACCGTTCACAGATACATGTATCAACTGAAAGCGCGAGAGCTCTTACAGATTCCATAAATTATGTAGATAAATCATTTTTCAATGGTAACTGTCATTGCATTTTTGTATAAATATTAGATGCATTGTAATGTACTTACAAGATCGAAAAAGAACCCTTCACCCAGGTACCTTTTGAATTAATTCTTAAATTTGTTTTGATGTATCGGATTGTGCAAAATTCATAAAAATTTGAGAGCATCTTAACGAAATGCTTGCAATTTCACTTCAAAGCATTTTTAATGCGTTAGTAATTACTTCAATTTGTCTTTTACAAGGCGGCAAATGTTCTTCAAATGTGAAAAGTTTACGACAACGACGACAGAGAACGGACAAATTTCGATCAGAAAAGCTCACTTGAGCCCTCGGCTCAGGTGAGCTAAAACCAGGAGATGTTGCAAAAATGATAAATCTACGTTCAAAATTCACACTGGATGAGTATCTGAATATTTGCACAACATTGTCCCGAATAAGCGTGAACATGTATCCACATATTATAATACTCGTAATAAAAGAAAATAATATATATTGTTCCAAGATGCAGATTAAATTATTTAGAAATTCCTGTATATAAACAAAATATTATAAACAGTCCTTCGTGTTCATGCGGAAAACGCAAAGATGTTTATCATTTCTTTTTTGCTTGCAAAGTTATTCTAATGCTAGAAATGATCTTTTCAATCGTTTGTTCATGCTTTATTTGGTCACTATTGCTATAAACCTATTACTATGTGGTGATGAAAATTTGCCTTTACTTAAACAATAAAATGCTTTCTTTGGTTGTTAGTACGGGAATTAATGTCGCAGCTGTTGCAGAAAAAAATACATAACCCGCGTAAGCGGGTTATGTAAATTTTTTTTCTGCAATAGCTGCGACATAAATTCTCGTACTAATAAACACAGAAAGTCATTTTATTGTTTATATTTATATCTGAATTAAAAAAAAACATTCAAAGTAAAATTAAACATGTTAAATATTGTATTAGAGAAGTGCATGACATTGTATGTATAATTGATGGAACAGCCGTTGCTCAAGAAATCTATACTGGTGGCTTGCTTAGTGTTTTTTATTCACAGATAAACAGCAATGGATTTCTTAAGAAATAAAGGAAATACTATTCAGTGGATGTAAATATAGATAAATAACAGTATTTTTGCTGCTGTTCATAAATTTATTGACAAAACATGTAGATTTTCTTAGTTGATATGTTATATTTCATTTGTATCATTACCATGACATATTGTCTTATACAAGGAGAGGAACTAGTTGTTAAGTTATTCAAGAACTTGTTTCCAATCCTTTTCGTCTAACCAATAAAATATGTTCAAAACAATTGGCTCTAAGTAAATAAAGTCAATATTCTTACAGTGCATCAATAATGACAGTGTAAATAATAATTATTATAACAGTGCATAAAAGTATAGGGCCTGCTTAACTTAAAACCGTGTTCATTTCAACTCAATATTTTGTCTCACAATAAAATTTTAATCGGGCAGATCTTCGACATTTACAACATATGATCGCTTGATCAGCTGTTGAACAGTATATCAAGATTATATTTGGGGGACATAAAATGAATGTTCTTATATTACGTTGTATTACTGTCTAAAAGTTTTATTTGGGACCAATAAAAAAAATTCCATCCTCCTTTAGTGATTTCTTGGATTGTTGAAGAAGTACATCGAGTTTGATGAGAGATTTTTTACTATTTACACGTGTGATGTGTCCTTTTGGTTGCACTCTCCGTAAGTTGAGACCTCGAAAGACTGTCCGCAGAATGAATACGGTTGCAGGGAATTAATTTCATGAAGTTCAGGCAAAAAAAAAAAAAAAACAAGCTGATGTGACTGACCTAGAAAAATTCAAGCTGACGTCGATGTGTACCTTGTGAATTAGGTAACGTCAAGTGCCTGTGCATAATACCTAGAAATTCCTAGATATCTGGACTTCATAAATCAATCATAAAATTATTTCATATGCCAAATTTAAGAACCCTCTATACACTACACATTAAAGAGTTCCGATTCTGAGGTATTTTTATGCATGAGTAATCTGTCCTTTTTTTTTTTAATTGAAATTAATTGAAATCTACAGTGCATTACTCAGTTTGTATTCAGTTTAAACAAACATTGATTGTAATAAGCCAAGATAAATCAGGTCACCTGATGACATGATTTACATGTATTTTCCCCACTTGAGTTAGAAGGACTAGTGATGATTACTGTTCAGCAATACTTGTCACTGAACATTTTCCTGCAGGTATATGCAATGTTTCATACGTTAGCTCAATATTCATACCTTTATACAATATAATTTTCTCAATGTCTAAAAAATATTTTTCCTTTAGTACAAAGAGGGTCCTTAATTAGCCAAAATATGGCTTGGAGCCAAACTGAAGCCAGGCCAAACTTGGGGTCAGACTGGATTTTATAGTATGCCCTATTTAAAATACATTTCTCTCATTCTGAATTAAATTTAAGGAAAGTTTTTAATTTAATATGTTTTTTGTTCCATTTAGGTTCTGGGTTGCACTTCAAACTGAAATCCCAAATCTTATTTCAACAGTTTGATTATTTATTTCATTCATCATGTTTATCAAATAACACAAATAAAGCAAATCACTATCACTTTGTTACATCAAAAGAAATTGTTTATTTCAAAATGTTTTACGTCCATTTAGGTTTTCAGGGTCTACATGTATCTGAATTCCATTTGGGAAAATAAATATTGGTATCAATTTCTTTTGAATTATTTGCACATATTAACTAATGTCAGTGATTTTAACTGATTCAGTTATTAATTAGTATCCATTTATGCTCTTTTCCGGAGCTTGTTTGTGTGCGATGTAGAGGAATCCAATACTTGACAGTGCACTGACAAGAAATATGACATCAAACCAGCGATGATAAAAATTGAACTGAAGGTTTCCGAGTACCTCCGTTATTATTGACCTGTATTCTTGTGGCATGTTCATTCTTATGAGGAGCACGGAGCTCACAAAATACATCCCCATTATTTGAGCCAAGCACAGTACGATCACATTTGATGATTTACTGCTTGCAATAGCATAGAAAAATCTTGTTAAAGTAATGAGTAAGCCTCTTATTGAAGTGACTATGATGATTCCAATCAGAAGAAATGAGATCTGCTGTGACCAGAATTTGACATCAAACTGAATTCCCAAGTAATTGATTGCTATTTCTATTCCTCTGGTTACAGGGTCAACTTTCCCAACTCGATCAAATATAATGTTGATGGTGGAAATAAATATTTTCCATACACAGTAAATGGAAAAGAAGTATCCCAAAAAGTTGAAGTATTTTCCTTTGAATGTTTTTGAGTATGCAATTCTTTCCTGTGTATTATGTAGATCCACTGATTCCAAAAATAGTTGCTTTGCTAGCTCTTCATAGGCCTCAGTTTCCTGTTGCAACACTGAAATATTCTCCAATGAATTGCCTGACGTCACTTTTGATATCATTCCCCATAATCCACCTTGACTTTTATTAATGGTCGCTTGCTTTAGCCGTTCTCGTTTAGCTAATGCCATTCTTTTTTTCTTCAACAGTATCATATCCATAGTTTGCATCAATCTCTTTTCTATGCCTTGGATATCTGCTTCCGTTACTGCCCTAATGAAGCAAAACATTGATGTATATGGATAATTTACTGCACCAAATCCTGAAAGTACTGCCATTAATGTGACTCCAATGACACCAATTCTGCCGATACACTGCTCAATTGAAAAGATTCCATGCTTTGGACTCAATATAGGAAATGGGTCACCAATTTTCCAGAAAAAATAAAGAAATCCCAACCAAGTTCCAGTTGTCAGTAGTACTCGAATGTGGCGCTTCTGTGGGACAAATCTTAAATTTCCAATTATGAAATAACCAATGTAGAATGGTAATACAGCCACTAGAACTGAGAGGATGGCATAAAGTCCCAACTTCCAGTGGAAATATCTGGAACTAGCCTCAAGAAATCCAAGAATCTCAAAGATGATCAGTTCAAACATGGTACATGACAATGCAAATGTTACAGAAAAGACCAACAAAACAACAGAATGGTGAACCTCATAGTCCTTAAACAGCTGTTTCAAGAAAAACACCCATCCACCAGCAAAAAACAACACCTGGGAAAAGAACATTAAGCAAGAGTCCATTAAAAATGACATCTTCAATAACTCGATGTTTTCACGTATATATGTATATTACTTATATTAGTCACGCCAGTAGTTTTTGGGGGACTTTGCCGATACGTTGCATTCAAGTCCTAAGATTTTATTGGTATTTTTTCTGCAAAAAATTTGTCCTCTTGGTTTTTCTTTCACTCAATTGGATTGCCATAAAATTCCCTTGTGTATCGACATCTTGTTCAGTCCATAGCTTACAAATTATTATGTACACACTGCACACCGTAACAAACTTCCGGTTTAAGTTGGTGTGCTATTTAGTGCTGAAAGGGATTCGAGGGTTTCTCTGTCATTCACCTACATAATACAAAATACTCGATTACTCCGATGAATAAATTTAGTGTAAAATAAGAATTTTTCTTTCGATTTAATATCAATTATTATTATCAGGGACCTATATACTAACTATATAGTATATAGGTCTCTGTTATTATTTTGTATTATTTGAATTATTTTTTAATTAATGAGTTGTTTTTTTTTATTTGTTTGGTCTTTCTTTTCCCTTCTTTTTCTTTTTGCATTCTTTGCATACATGTCCATGTTATAATTAATTTGGGCATAAATCATAAAATATAATGACCATTTTTTGAAAAGAGCTGATATTATTTTGTAAAAAAGATTTTAAATTGCCTGATATGATTCCAATCCAGATCTTTGATTAATATATTCCTCATTTTTATTGCATTTTATTTTAAATGCGATTTTTTTCATAAAATGTTCATGAATAATTTTATTCTGTATTATGAAAAACAATTGAATGATTAAATAAATAGTGATAGGGCCTATCGATTTTATGTATTACTTTTATTAGTCAAATCCGTAGTCTTCTGGGCGCTTATCATTAGGCAAAAAATACATGTGCAGTCCAAGTTGCTAACAGCAACCATCCAGATCTATGGTGGTAAGTAGTAAATTTATTTTTCTCTGGAAAATTCGTCAATATTTTTATATTTGCATGAACTGTTCCGCAGAATTTTGGTGCAGTTTTTATTTTCTACATTTTTATGATAACTTGCTTTGTTCCAATTAGCATTAAAATACATGAGGAATGATAAGCAATGTGTGGCAATTCGGCAATGCTTTTTATCTCCATTGTCCTGTTTTCTTTTTTTTTTCCTCTCTAATTTACCCACGAAAGCTGTCAGGAATTTTATTTTACTGAAATAGAATGTCCTTGCCCACAATTGTATGGTCAAGAGTTTATTTCCATGTTGCTCCTTTTTTTTTTTTATGTATCATGTATGTAGTAACTGGGTTAATTTATATCATTAAATATGTATGCTGATTTATCAGGTCCGGCACAATCTCTTGATTTAGCTATTTAGCTTGATTTAGCTTTATTAAGCTATTCAGAATAGCTTGATTTAGCTATTTTATGACACTTTTTTCTTAAATGTGTTATTTTCTCAGCATGCACAAAACGGCGTACCTTGGTGCAGTGATAATATTCAACCTTAAACTCTTCTGAAAATAATTCATGTAAAAATCACTCATCAAATTGTGTCTCCTTAAGAGACTTTGTACTCAAAGTTCTAAAAGTTTTGGGGCTACATAAAGCAATTGATACAGTTACTTCTGCAATGAAATTATAAAGGAGGCCAATTATGGTCAACAAGATAATTGATTGGTAATAATTCAGTACAATGAGAAGCAATCATACTTATCCACACCTCAACGCACACAAGGTAGTGTACAGTTACTCAAACAATGGAAATAATCTTTTGCTTAAAAGTATTCAAATGCTGCAATGTTAAAATTTTCTTTGACTTTGGTTGTTGTTTTGATAGCCCATGGTAGATAATATGAATAGTCAAATATTTGCGACTTTTGGTCTTTTTCTTACAAAAAACATTTTTCTGAAAAACTGCACATAAATAGCTTTATCAAGCTATTTTGAATAGCTTAATAAAGCTATATAGCTATTTCAAGCTAAATAGCTAAATCAAGAGATTGTGCTGGACCGGTTTATAGGACTCTTGAACAAAATAGTTTAGGACCAGGTGCAATATTTCTAAATTAGTATTTCATTGCATTTCCATTGGTTGTGTCATATTTACAGGAATACAAATTATAAGTTAATTTGTCTAATAGTAAATCTGTAAGGGTGAGTGACTGTCAGCACAGTTTCGTTTGTTTCATAGGGTCAGTTTTTGTTGTTGAGATCAGCGTATGCTGAAATGCTGTGGTCATATGACCGGGTTTAAATGGCTAACAGGGAAATGAAAAAGTAAAAACTAACTAACTAAATTAATGTTAAATATTCTCAGTTATGATCTTTCTTTACTTAATTCTATATCATTTTTTGGCATTGCATCTTAGGGCAGCTAGGGTTCGAAACTAACATTTTTAGGCTCTAGTCCAACCAGACTATGGTTTTATTACTTTTACTAGTCTGTACGCGATTATACGAGTCCGTCAAAAAAGGGAAATCATCAGTGTTTTGTAATGATTAAAATATTAAATATTACAAGGCAAGCTTTAAAATAAAATTTTTTTGGTCTCTCATGACTCAGGGTGAAAAAATTGGTCGGTAGGTAGGTGGGGCAATTTTTTTTACCAAGAAAATTTCATTTTCAGTTCTGAATTTTCAAAATCTACTTTCCAGAATGCATGAAAAAAATTATTGCTTCCTGGAGGTCAAAAATAGTTTTGATCGAGTCAGGCCATTTGTAGCCAATTGATCGGGAGAGGGCAACCAAAGAATTTTTTAAAGTTGGCCCAATGTACCTTTTATACTTTTTTAAAATTAATAACACATTTACATGAAGTGTTTAATTCCACAGATTTGTTGCAATCTTGTGATCAAGAAATATGAATGACCATATTCTCAATCTCATTCTTTTTCCTTTATACATTTACATCCAGAACATCTGACATCTTTCTTTAATGTATCATACTAAATCATGATTGCTAAAACGTTTAACTTCATATCATGTCATAAAATTAAGTGCTGAATTGACTCGGATGATGTACTTAACTACCCACCATGAAGCTAGAAAGCTAAAAATACATTTGGGGACAGGTTTTACAGTATAAGTTGTCAAGAATTGAACATCAGTAATTTATTCATTTTGTTTTCCAGAAATTTTTGTTTGTCCATTTGAAGTAATTGGCCACAGATTTTATTAGTTCGAATGAAAATGTATTAGTCTGAGACTAACGGACTAATGTTATTGTCAAGCCCTGTAGGGGAAAAAAGTTTAGAATTTAAATAAAATTTTTTAAAAAATAGATATACATGCCAAATTACTGGCAAAAATCTCATTCTTACAACTAGAAATAGCTTTAACCATATTTCTAAAAGTGACAAGATTGGTGAATGCTGGCAAACTTATCTCGGGCAAATGAAGCAACAAACCGGGTTACCAAAGGTCAAGCGGCATATTCGGTGAACGCTGGTTTGACAGATGAAGTCCCACTATGTTATTAAATTCTACATCATTCAACTGATGGATCTGTCATTCCCTTTTGCATATTTCAATATAACTGACTTGAAAATTTTCAGTAAACTTCTTGAAGTTTTTTTTTTTGTGTCTCATAATGTCATAATTGTTTCCATATGATTTTTATGACCAAAAAAAAAATGTTTTATAGAACTTGATATTTACTCAAACTTTGAGGATTTGAACCATATCTTGAGATTGTGTTTCCATACTTCTCTGATAATTCTTGTACAACTCAAACAAAATTAGAAAAACCAGAAATGTACTGTATCGGAGAATATGATAGGAAATCCAGCTCCCAGATTTCTTCCTGTTGAAATTTTACAAAAGAATGTCACATGTATACAAAAGCATATTTATTGAGGTCTCTAGAAAGTATACTATACTGACCAATTGTTGCCATGCATGGAAAGAGGTCCAACAGAATTTCTTTAAACAATGTGTAGATTTTAACTAAAATCTCCCCTGTTAGAACACATTATTAGTGGAGCTTGCAAGCTGTAGAAGAATACAGTCAAACCTTGTTTTCTCAAACTTTATGGGACCAAGATTAAATTTTGAGATGTCCGAGGATTGGAGATATTTAGGGGATAAAAGTGAAAGAAAAAGTGGTTGGGACTGCCAGCACACTTTGACATATTCCAGGTATTCAAGATATTGGTGTTCAAGATAACAAAGTTTAACTGTATATATAGACTACAAGATTTTAACTTGTGTTACTTGTGCTGTCATACAGTTCTTCTTCTTCATTAATTTAAGCAATATTTTATTATGTTGTATACATATAACTGTAATAGGAATGGGAAGCAGACACACTGCCTATGCAAGCCCTCTCAGTAATACAGACGGAGTTATACAGATAAGAACATTAATACAGATACCCCCTCCCCCCTCCCCCCCCCCCCCCCCCCCCCCCGAAAAAAAAAAAAAGCAACAAAACAGAAATGGATGTTGGTTCTTTGGATTGAAAATTAAAAAAAAAAAAGGAAAAAAGAACCTCTATAAATAGTTTTCCTATGACATATTTTGCCTCGGAGTTATTCCCCTTGGCCGCCATCTTGTAGGTCAAAGTAGTGAATTTTCCTATTTGAGCAACCAATTTTAAACATGCATGCCAGAAATATATGGGGAAAAATATTTACAATATTGAAATTCTGAATTAAAAGAGGCTTTAACAAATGTATATTCATAAGAAAAACAGTATTATCTTCACCTCAGTGCCCAGTATAACAAATTGAACTTGCATGGTTGTATAATGAAGGGATCTGGGAATGTTGACCTACAATATGGCAGCCATGGGGAAATAACTCTTGCTTAAATCACCTCAGTGGAATCGAAAACCATCTGTTTGTGGGTGAATGCACATGTCATGATGGAATACAGACTTTCAGTAGTAATAAAATTAGATGCAGGAGTTACCGAGGACTGGTTCTAAGTGACAGTCATTTAATACTTTTTACAAATTTTCTTTTGCCTGAAAGATAATACATGTGCTAGTTTATCCAGAGGAGCATATTGTCCTCGCGGCTTGTGCAGATGCGTACATAAACATAATTGATGTGCATTGTCATATGTCAAGATGCACATGTCACTGAGGGCAGTGCAGTGGTGCCTGAAGATTGATTACATGCATGCACTGCATGTTTTAAAATACATTTACAATGTACACTTTTTTTTGTTAACTGGTTTTAGTACTGGTATTTATTTGTATTTGTTTATAGTAAATGAATTTACACATGTAGTTTGCAGTTGCACATGATGGGAGTTTTAATTCTTTAATAGATGAGTCAAAAAT